CACACTGAAGTCAGGCTGGTCACGAACAGAAGGCGATCGCGACCTGCGCTCAAGTGAGCTGCCCAAGTGGGAAGATGAAGAAGCTGGCTCGGCGGATGAAGATGCTGGCTCTGCTCGCTCTGGAGTGTCCAAAGAATCCAAAGAAACCTCGGCCAAATCCTGTAGCGAAACGGGCTCCTGCAACACCGAGTCTGAGTCAGACTCTTCCTCCTCCTCCTCCTCCTTCGGAAGGAGAGGAGTCCCCTTATAGATCACGTACCCAGACGCGGAGATCTGCGTAAGCCGCGCGCTTACTTTAAAGAACTTGGCAGCCAATGCCGGCACCTGCCCCGGAGGCTTGTTGAATACTTCCTCGGCGAGGTTTTCCAAACTCTCACGCCAAAGCTGAAGCAGCTTTATATGAAGTGAGCGGCGCTTATTGTTGGCGGCCCGGCCACCTCTAGAAGCGCGGGTGTCGGCTCCAAATGCCGCAGCAAGTCCAAAAAGCTCTTCACGGCGATCCGGTGACAGCATATACGGGTGAGACGAGGAAGCCGATTAACTCCAAGTCCCAATGCAAACCCCCGTGCCGTTAGAGTGGCTTGCAAATTTACCCCCGTGCCGGAACTGTGGCTTGAAGTTGATGTATCCCCCAATGCCGCTACTGTGGCTTGATGTTACCCTTTGCCTGAATCGTTGGCTTAACTGTCCCTATGCCAGAATCGTTGGCTTAACTGATGGCCTATCGGATGATGCAGGTGACTTCGTCGGAAAACCACACTCAACCGACAGTACAACCAACCACAACCAACCAGGATGCGGCCGGTGGCTGTGTGCCAACACGGCAGCAGAGGTGGAAGTGCTTTCGATTGTTCCAGAATCCCAAATCTTATGAGATCAACCGAAACCAGAAATCGAACCTTTGATTCAATCTCAGCTAATCCTTCCAATCACCACGAGGCCTTGCTACCCTGAAGTCGTGAACGGACCTTTGGGCAAGGTGATTGGATTTCGGGTGTTCCGGGTGGCAAGGTGCCGACACCGGCTGTTCGGGAAGTCAAGGAAGATGTTGAGGATAGCAGGGGCTGTTGGCAGTTGCCGAATCAGCCCTGTACCTAGAGAATGGTCCAAGCTGTCTCCTCGACGCAGCAGGCGGAAGAGAGAGTGCGCGCCTCGACACACGAAGTGGAGACACGAACAACAGCTATGGGAAATAACGAGGAACCTGAAGATAGATTGGTACAAAGGCGGTGTCGTCTATGTACCTAGGATGAGATGCGTGATGAATGCGATACAAGGCAATCGTGAGCTCACCTCTCCTGTAGAAGGAGCGAAGCAAATTACGCACAAGCCTGCGCAACCTCACACGGACTCTAACCCAACGTTGGCGTCTAGCCAAGTATGCAGGAAAGAACCTCCTTAGGATGAAGATTCGGATATCGTAGTACAGCTCTGTGAAGAAGTAAACCACACGTTCCCAAAGCGTAGGCCAACCCTCAGGCGTGGGCATACACTAATGATTCTGTGGTTCAGCAATATGGAAAGCTCCCTGTTGGCTGGGTGCCTAAGCAGGGGCAGAGGTTGGCAAGAATGTGAAAGAAGGACAGACTCTACCCGGTGGTTGGCTCTACCTACACGGGGAGTACAGATAACAGTGCAAATATGGAAAGAGATGTGGAATGGCGGGTAGGTCTCTCACAGACCAATGACACTCCGATTTCAAGCTCTACCCTAAGGGAGCAATATGGAAGGTGCTATGGCGTCGGTAGGCTCCTACACTACCTACACCAAGCAAAGCTGAGGCTGTTAACCAGTTAATTGCAGGGCAATCTCTGATTCCAAGACACAGTGATGATAACGCTTCTTTTGTGTCTTGAGCCAAATATCGGTGATAACGTCTTCGAGTGAAACTGCTTCAAGATGATCTACATAAGAAGGGCCTGGGGGCTCGTGATTTCTCAACTATCATCATTGTCATCGTCGGACATTTTCATCCTCATGCTCGCATCATCTTCATGTTCTGGACAGCTGGGTGGAGCCCCCGACCCTTGCGAAAAATTTCAAGGGATGGGGCTGTGATGTACATATGGTTTCCCGAGATTTCGGGTATTTGGAAAGCCTCCGGAGAATCCTGCCGAATGCCTCTTAGTCGGTAAGAATGAAGAAACAGTAACAATAGGACAATAAGTAGAGATAGGTTTCGTGCCTCGTCGCCAACAGCTGGGATGCCAGCACAGCTCGGAGCTTGTGGTTTAAGCTTTGGCATGTAAGGGTACGAGAATATCGAGAATGCACATTTGCTTTGATTTTCAAATTTTTAAGGCACAGAGTCTGGCTTGCCAGATCTTCTTTTCCAAACGAGTAACCAACTCTGTGCGCCGGAGCAGTGAAGATGCGATCCCTGAAGAAGACGAGGCAGTAAGCGCTTTAACTATGTTTCACATGAACCACACAATACCGGGGTGTCGATTATGATCAAGGGTTTGGGGTTTCTGGGCCCTTGGCCCAGAGGAATTCGGCGTCAGATTGCGCCAACCGTGGGCGTATTGGCAGAGGAAAAAACTGCTTCATTTCGTTTCTCTGCAGGAAGCAGACTCATGGTTCGGACAGCCGCTGCCTTTACAGCCAAAGTTGGTACCAACCTGGGGTGTATTGCCAAGTCAATTTTGCATGTGAATACACCTTGGTTCCCAAGAACCGGCGCGTGCAAACCAGGGTTGCCTGTGAATTGAAGGGTCAGATGCCAGGTTTGAAGGGTCACGAATCCCCCCATTATGCAAAGCCATGCTTCAGCTGCACGCAGACACCCTTCAATTCGATCCGTTCATTAGCCGCCCAGCTGAAAGGTCAAATGTGTGCATTGAAGTTTACATTTTGTGTGGAAGCGATGTATGTAGCTCAGCTGTTAGAGATATCAGAAGATCAGGCAAGGTCTGCAACCGGCACCCTTCAATTGCACAAAGCCACCTTTCAGCTGAGTCCATTCATGAGCCGGCCATTTGAAGGGTCTTGGTTGTGTGTTGAAGCATTGTAGCCCACAGACAACGGCTGAGGTGGCGGCTAGAAAAGCCAAGCCAACACATCACAACACCCCAAGAAGCAGCACTAAATTAAAAATCTCCCAAAGCTCAACCCAGACAGAATCATCGGCATATTTGTTGTCATCATCATGATCACTGTCAGTAAAGCCTTCCTATACAATTGAGCCTGTTGCAGCCTGTCGCTGCCGGACGTGCGTTTGTGCCCCCTCATTGGCACAAAAAGGAGCACATCTCAGAATCAAAGCGAACCCATGCATCGATCTCGAAACAAAACCAAAAACATGCATGTTTCTTCTTCAGAACCAACAAACTTGTGATGCACGCCCGCCTCGAAGGAAAACTGCTAACTGGCGTGGCTTACCACGGCTTCACAAGAGCTTTGTCAAAGGCTTTAACTCTTTATGCTTAGAGGCGCAGGCTTGAAGGAAAACTATTTCACGGCAATCAGACAAGAATCTGTCGTTTGGTCTAGCATGCAATGTTTTTGCACGAGACGGTACTTCACTCCCAAACGAATCTTGAGTCGGGCTTCTCGGAACGACTGGAGCCTGCTAGCCGTTGCACACCCTGGTTACACACATTACATCAACTAAACACCACATGCTCCAGCAACCTCGTTAGAAAACTGACGACTGCGGTAGAATCTGACTTTTTCCAGTCAGACCCTTTGTCAAAGAGGACGTAGGCCGTCAGCAAGATTTGTACCCTTTCACCGACACACAAGGGAGCGCATCTCTGCAGTAAAGCAAACACCTGGTCTCGACGCACATGCTTCTTCTTCACCACCAAATGCTGTTTACCCCTGCGAAACAACATGCATGTAATGTACACCTGCTTCCGCTGCCGAAACCCAGGCCGCTCTTTAAATCTCTGAGCCTCGTCGCTGGTATGATTGTACGGCTTAGAATTCGGTTAGGCCTACTTAAGAATTTGAGGAACCTTCAAAATACTGGAAATTGTCAACGGGCCTCCCGTCGCCGAGAAGCTTCTTCCTTCTCTTCCTCCGTTTTCTGCGGGAAGTGCTTCCATGTCCCTTTCGGGTTTAAGGAGAAGGTCGGTTAAAAACTTTGTTGAATTTCAGAATGGTGATATACTCATCAGATTGAGCTTTGTGATTTAGAATGCATTCTAGTGCAGGAAGTCATGTTTTCCAGACTGCTGCCAAGCGTTTCAGCGATCATTTCTTCGCTGGCATCGGTCACCGGTCGTCATGGCGCAAGCGAGTGAGCGAGTGGGGGAGGGAGTTAGTGAGCGAGGGAGTGCGTGGGTGAGTGAATGAGTGAGTGAGTGCACGAATAAGTGAGTGAGTGTATGAGTGAGTAAAGGATCGAGTTGAGAACACTGATGATGATCGATGGCAGCGGTGGTGATGGATGTAGTTGTATATACAGAATGACGGATGTTCTAGGGATTCTAGGGTGCACAGGACCAGCCAGCACAGCTGCGGGATGGGACCATGATTGAATGAGCGCTGCACGCACGGATGACTTGATGGCTATTGGTTGCAGGGGTTTGCTATGTCCGAACTTGCAACGTGGAGAATCGAAAGCCAGCGATCCATCTACGAATACATGCAGGATACAGACGTATGTGTGGCATGCTACAGTTTCACGTTGCGATACTGTCTTTAATGTCCAGTATTCTCAAAACCTAACCACCAAAACTAACTGGGCACTAACCTATCTGTACGCTATCATACCGCTTCACTTCTACTCATGTCCAGTTGATACTTGTTATCAAACTGATGGATCCTTCAGATAGATCGCTCTCTACCTCTCTCCGCACTGCAGCGCAAAGCGAGTCCATGCTCAAGATCGCCTGTCGGCAATCCTGCTAAAGGTCGGAGAACTCCGGTATACAGCTAGAAACAAAACGACATGTTGTCGCTTCTACCACAGTGTTGGTGCCGATTGGGAGCAAAGCCAGTCTTGCTCGCAGTGCCATGCGCCGTGCCCTTATGTTATTGAAATACCACTCCGTTCAAAGTGCGGAGGCAGCGGCGAGCTGGAGGTCGCAAATCTTGCGACTCGGGCCTGGCGAGATTCGCTCCACCGTGTGTGTGTGTGTGTGAACCGCTGACAGCGCAGCAAGGGCCTTGACCCACTCCAGTTTCAACCAACTGGGATTTTCTGGATCCAGCTCCTCGAGTAGCTTCTCCGCCAAGCTCATGCGCATGCTTGGTCCTGGACTTGATTGCGGACTTTGTTCGCGTCTCAGCTGAGTTGAGGCTGGGAAGCTCTTCTTGAACCTGGTGCCCTCTTCCGACTGGATGCCGACGGTCATAGCCAGAGAGAGCAACAGCTTGTAGATTTGGACAGATAAGTCGAAACTCTTCAACCACATGCGCGGATGGATTGTCAGTCGAGACGTATTTCACCTGCGCTAAACCTTTCGCAAGAGTACTGTCCGCCATTGCTCTGATGGACGATGATGCACCGTCATTGCTCACGGCACAGAGGCCGACGACGGCGTTGGTCCGGCCTCGAACGGAGACCGCCTGGGTCAAGCAACATGTTCTTCAAATTTTCAGTTTACGAGGTTACGAACCAATAAAGAAACATACAATTGCAAGGGCCTGACTGCTTCGGGGAGCGAGATGCGCGCGTCCGCGCACTTTCACCGCGGAAGACAGCTGCATCCTTTTGCTGTGCAGTTGCACGAGGAGGGGCCCGTCCCAGATCATGATGCCTTCCGTCATTCGCTGAATGGGTGGAGAGCTCAAGATGTCTTCCACGATGGGCCGCCAATGCTTCGAATGTCGGGGAAGGATACTTGCATACTCTGGAGCTATGCAGGCCGCCACGGATCAGGCACCATCCGGGCTCGCCAATATGCTCTCAAAAGAATGACAGGCCAACGAAGGGATGAAGCGCCTAGGGCATCCAGTGGCTTTCAACTAACCTGTCAGCGCGGATGGTCGAATGGCGGGGGTCTGGAGTGGATGAGGGGCGGTGCTCGGCATCCTTGCATGGGCATGGAACGGTTAAATAAGCTTTGAGCCCACCCGAAACCGTCCCCAAAAGAAGTTTTCCGTGGCTTCTGGACTCAGACAGACATTGTGTTTGTCACTCCTCCGCCTTACTGAGTTCTTGCCTGCAACAACGCCACCCGGCCTCAGAACCTCCTCGCCCTCTGCAACACTGCAGCATTTCGCTTAGCTGTCTGGCCTTCCGGACCCGACCCACCACTCTCTCAAACAGGTGCCATAAATTCTCACAAGCCTTTCGTTCGCGAGGTCTGTAGCGAAGGGGGCAGCTTCAAACAGCTGCCTATCTACAGGACGAGTGGATGGAAGATGTCGTCGCACAACATGCTACGTGGAATACCCGCTCTTGGGTTTGGACTTAGTCTGATACATCCCTTTGGTGCGACACAGCATGTACTTTTAAAGTCTCCTTGTGCTTCAGTATGTTGAACCAAAAAAGATTGCCAAACAGACCCTAAAGGTCCATGCCACGTGGACATATGCATGTACATATATACACAAATGTACATGGAAAGATGTATACATGACCAAGACACACAAGTACATACATACGTACACACATACATTGATCCGTCCATCCTACAATTGTCGTGCATAGATACTGATAAGTATGTGGAAAAGCCGATTCACGGAGGATGAATGCCGATCCCTCCTTCTCCCATCCCATTCCGGGTGGCCCCTCACCGCCGGCGAAGTTGCCGCTGAACCTTAGATAGGTTCTTGCGACACTTGCCGGTTACGTATGCGCACTTCTAGTGGCCTTCGCATAACAGGAAAAGTAAACTCTGCACCAACAAAATGTCCCTGCAACGGTAGATTGACCTCAGACTGACGTGAGTTTACATAGGAACCTGACTAAGAACTCTGCATGGATCCTAAACTCTTGGGGTTCTAGGACCCGGGTTTCTCAGGCAGGTTCCTACATTACGATAGCGGATACAAGAGTTTACAACGTGAAATGTGCAGGAAGACCTCAGAGTCTCTCGCGGCGTGGACTGGGCGGATTCTGGGGGGCCTGCGCGCCGGCTGTCCAGCGCTGGCCTGCAAGGAGCTTGTGTATGTAGGTATACCAGGTGCAATACAGAAGCACTTTCTTCGAATAGATATGCCGGTATTACCGGGGCGAGAGAGAAAGCAAGAGAGAGAGAGAGTGAGAGATACAGATAGACAGATGCACCACCGCCCCATCTGCTGGGCTGGGCGCACCTCCCGCGTCCCAGGACGACTCGCTGTGGCCACCTGGTGGAAGCTTCGCTTCCGGATGGGTACCAAGCTCACGCAACGCTGGACGCAGCCCAGGAATCGGCAGAACCACAGAGGAAATACCGACAATGGTGACCATTAACGTTGATGTTGCTTCGCCGCGGACCATCACAACAATGATAGCCTTGCTGCGTGAAGTAAAACTACCACAGAACCATGGCGACACTGACGAGAATTAGACTTAAAAAGAAGAGAGGGTCGTGAATCTCTTCCTCATCACCGAAGGCGTGGAGATCACAGCGCCATCCTTACCAGCCTCGAGGCCCCAAATTCGCATCGACTTCTCGACTGGTGCTACGCCGTGCTGCTCCCACACCGTGTTCTTCAAAAGCCAATGGAAGGGGTGACCGGGTTTGAGCTGAAATATACGTCGGTCGGACTGCTTTTCCTACTGTTGGCTCAGAAGTCGCGACCTCAGAGAGAAAGATCGAATGGATGAGCAGATGTGCCCAGCTAGATCCGCCTGTTGTGCCTGATGCTGAGGATGCTCGCCCTGGGGCTCGCTACAGCAACATCCGGTCAGCTTTGGATTGGCTTCAACCGCCAAAAATGAAAGAGGCTGATGCTGATGATGCTCGCCAGCTGGCTGAATCCAATCGCTTGGTCGAACTGTTGTGCTCGCCACGTCTTCAAAGGCCGAAGGAGAGCTTGCGAAGAATGACGGCTGATGCTGATGATGCTCGCCCCAACAAAGTTACTGGCTCAGCTCAAAGGCTGGGAGATGCGAGAGGAACTGTGAAGAGAATGAAGACTGATATTTGAGTCGAACTCTTGTGGTTGAGAGGCCGGAGCGAAAGTTCGAAAGGAATGACAGCAGATGCTCATGATGCTCGCCCTGCGGCACTCCCTGAGTATCGCTGTGATCAGTCGGAGCATCAGCAGCATTTTCATCAATAGGATTCAATAGGACTATCACACCAGGATGCAGAAGGCGAAACCGTTGCAACCCCGCCTCCTGGACTGCTGCTGTCTGCACGGGCAGACTGCAGAAGTGTCGTAGCTTCATCATAGTCCTGACACGGAAACCAGCGGAAATGGAAAGGCAGGAGTGACAGGCGGGCAGACAAATTCAATCAAAACGAAGCAAGCGATGAAAAACCCTGGAGAGAAAAATGTGGATAGCCATAGCCCCTGACGACTCAACACAAGGAGCACATTCAAGGCAGAGACTCGTACATTGGCTCCAGGCGATTGTTTGACTAGCAGGCTGGCGGATTGGGGCTTCCCTCGGACGGCGTCACCCAGGCTACCCAAGCGTTGTGGCGTTGTTGTTGCTGCGCATGTAGGAGCAGGCCTAGGCCCTAGGCATCCGTGCGTCTTTGCGGAGTCTCTCCCCACAGTCTTCCTGGGCCACAAAGAGGTTCAAAGCCTTTTCGCCCCTTAAGCTCCCATCGTCCTCCCGGAGGCGGCGGAAGTCCGCCTGCGAGGCCTGCGCAGCTCAGCAGCTCTCCTCTCCGATCCGGAAGAACGATTGCTCGAATCCAAGGATAAGTGACTAGGTGAGTTTAGAGCTTAGGTTTCCTTTGGAGCACCTTTCTCGTCCGCTTGGTTGAAGCATCTGAATCCGCATAGCGGACGTCAGCTGCTAGACCCTTACTCAGACTCCCCCTCGGAGGAAGTAGAAGCACTCGGGGAAGCTCTAGCCGAACTCTCCATCGTCCAAGTCATCCGACGAAGATGCCCCAGAGTTTACGGTTTAGCAGGTTTAGGGTCTGCAGGGCTTTAGGGGTCAGGGCTTTATTGAGCTGCCCTGAGAAGTGCCTTTCTTCCCTTCTCTCGGAGCTATGGGCGCCCTTGGCCTCGCCCGCGATGTCCGGATGGAGCAGCTTCGCACGCTTGTAGTAGGCTCCCCGCAGCTCCGCCTTCTCCGTCAGAGTTCTCAACGCTGTTGCGAAACTGGTCGTAATCATCAAGCGCTCAGAAGTCTTTTATTTGTGCAGAATCCTACTCACTGCAACACCGCTCACACATATAGATATTGCAACGATAGCAAACGATAGGAATGATCATGGTAAGCCCAGTAGAAGTGAAACCGCTAATCATCATCTGCCTCACCACCGTCATCATGGACATCATCATCATCACCACCCTAGACGGCTCCGGCAAGCTGATACCAAGCAACAGGAAGGAGCGGAGTACTGGCAAGACACTACACGCATCTTAAGAGAATCTGTTACCGGTCAGAGTGGCCATCACACCGTGGCAGGCATCATCGGTGCGTCCAAAAATTGATCACACCAGCACAAAGACTAACTATTAAGGAACAGCGATTTCGCCGATGCAAGCAACAATATGGGCGCACGCAGAAGCTTTCAAAACAGGAGCACTAATGAATGGTCACTAGCAACACAGAGGAAGCAGCATGTCGCCCAAAAAGCTGACCCTCTGAAGCCGTAAACAAAGTTCACAAAGTCCTGGCGCTGCCTGTGTCGCACCAGGAGCCAGCCTCGACATGTCAGAGCTAGGCCCCAGAGGATCCTTCCTCCTCCCGAACCCCTCGCGGCAATTTTTCTCCACTCTGGGACCCCCGGGCTTGAACCGTCGCAGGAGCTCGGCGAGCCGCCCAGCTCCGCACATGTCAGAGGCTCCCCCAGGGTTTATCGGCTTGGGGCCTTTTGGAGTGTACCAGAAAACCTGTGACCCGTGACTCGCGGCCGCACCTCCGAAGCAGTCCCAGCAGAAGTTGCTGTGCAACAAGATGCCATCCCCAACAGATCCGAACGCTTTGAGAGCTGCTACTGTCACTAATGCAAGCATGCCATATCATGAGCTGCCAGGCTCGTCGGCGGTAGCGTGAATCTTGACGGGCTGCTCGAGTTCAGATCTATGAGGATATGCGCAGCTTGACAAGCTCAAAGTCCAAAGGTTGCAGGGGGCTGTGCACAGAAGCAGTAAACAGGCCAGCATCCGTCGATGGAAGCGACAAAGGGGGAAGGAAAGCGAAAGACTGGAGAACAACAAAAATTGGAACGGTATACGGAGACACAATGTCTTCAAGTGTTCCATAAGTGCGGATTTCGCAATGGCTAGCAGGAGGCTCAATTCGCGTAGCACGGCTTGTCTGCCGCTGGCGAATCAGCGAAACTAATTTTTGGACCTACGTCTGCAATGTCGTATTCATCTACGCACACCTGTGCTTACGAGCAGGAATGCCTGAGCTACCTGTAGAGTTATAACTAATGATGATCGCCAGCGCCCCGTCGTCACTCTCGCCTTCATCGAATGGACACCATCCACGCCAACCCCTTTGCTGTCACAATCATCACCATCCGAAATATCAGTAAGCAGTCATTTCCTCCAAAAATACAGTTAAAGCAAGGCATAAAGGCATAGCACACATAAACTGCCGAGAACAAAGGAGGTGCACAACTCTCAACAGGACTCGCCAACGGAGCAAGCCATAACAAAGAGTTCCAGACCATGTTGCCAGTGCGTATAAATTGACAAAGCCTCGCATGCCTAGTCCGTCGTAGAGCTGCCGGACTTAGAAGGGCAAGCTCACTCGATCATGGCATGCAAGATAGTCTTCTTCGGGGAATATTCTCGAAATCGAGAGACACTCCCCGTCGTTCCTTCATGGCCAGGTGGACCCCCGACTTCTCAGATGGCCTCCTTCCGCTCGAATCGCTTCACCGATTCTCCCGTGTTGCCCGCCCTCTCCCAAGCCTCCTGACTGCTAAATGCAACTATGCCCGGGGCGTGCAGACTGGACCTTTTCAGCATTCACTCTGCGGCTGACAAGGCCCCAAACTCATCGAGAGTCAGGCCCAGCTGCCTGGAGCTGAAGAGCAGTCGGAGCAGTCGGAGCAGTCGGCAGTCGCTGAGTCGCTTTCTTGCGTCACTCTCAGCGCCAAGCCCCGCAGCGATAAGCTGCTTTGGATCGCAGGGGATGGTCCTCAGCTCCCGCAAAAGTAGGGGCGATAGCCAGGCAAAGAAGGCTTTGAAGGCATGAAACTGAGCTGTGGGCTGGTTCATGAGAGCTTCATTGACTTTGTTGTGCCTCAAGCTTCCCCATCCCCAACTCTCCACGAGAGCCCATAAAAGTAGCAGCCGGCCCTAGATCTTTGCTTCGAAATCTGTCATCAGCCTTGGTTGGGAATCCTTGAGACCCGAGCATACGGGAGCATACGTACCCCGAGCGTCGAGCTCCAAACCCTCGATTTGGCCACGCCCCCTCCGACTCCGACCAGGCACCACCGCTGGGAATCTCCCTAACTCCCTACGGCCAGGCTAAGCCGGCCACCAAGTGCGAAACATGCTTGCAGCACCAACTCCGCGCGAGTGCGGAAACCGGGTGTCCGACGCCTGACACCACCAGACCTGGCAAAAAGAAAAAGGAGGAGAGGGTTTACAGCATGAAATAGACGCCTACAGGCCCAGGGCCTACGGCCAAAGCGTGCGCAAAGGCACCGCGTAGTCTTCGCGAGACTTGGTCTGCGGCGGCATCGCCTGACAGGAGACTCAAACTGCCTCAAAAGACCCCCCGCCTTCTTTCGCGGACATGACGGGCCCTGGCCCAAGGCCTCGCAGATGTCCAGGAAGTGAGTGGCACAATGGGAGCACCTCAAATTTCGCGAAGGCAACGCCTCTTTCTCCTTTGCCGGCGCTTGCGGCTTCTTGAGGCGGCAACGGATAGTTCTGCACAAAGGCCGCCAGCCAGGCCTGCGCTCTGACGCGCTCTGCTGAGGCACTGACTGAGGCTGCGAGGGCTGCGAGGCCTGGGCCTGTTGGGAGATCGCCTCCGAGGCCTCGGCTTGGTGCTCCGCGGCCTCAGACAAGACGTCGTGCAGCCAGTGCACACAGAGGGAGCCCGCCCCCCCCCCTCGGACCATGGAGTGGAGATATCTCCAGGCCGCCCTCCCGATCTCCGCGCGGTCCGGCGGCTCCACCTGCAAACCCGCAGGTACCGTACGCATGTCAAGCCCCTTCTGCGACCGAAGATGCTGGTCCCTGATGCTCATGATGCTGGGTCCCTGCCCCGCGCCAACCCCCCCTCTCCGACGTTCCGCTCCCTGTCAAGCTTTTCCGTCATGGGTTTTGTCAAGGCGCTTTGAGCCATTTTGTGTACATAGCCTGGTTGGCTTCAAGTTCTAGGATCAAAGGGCCTTCTTATCTAGAATTTCCCAGGAAACCGAAGCGGCTTGCTAAGTCAACTTAGCATCCAAGTAGAGTTCACAGGTCCGTGATTCGTGGGTCGCCGGTGGACTGAAGTTTGTCGGTTTTCTGTGCTATGTTGTCGTGAGGGTGCAGCCTTTCACAAAGTGCTGTGAGCCAGTTGTTGTCAACATTGAAGTTGGCTTTGAGTCCTAGTCGCGCACCTTGCCGCTTGTTCTGCTTGCCTTCCCGGCAACCAGTCCTAGTGACAGAATTGAAAGAGCTAGATAGATGATGCTCATGATGCTGGGTCCCTGCTCCCTGGCTACCGGAATGACTGTGACTAAGGCGCTGTGGGCCAACTGTGGATGGACTGATGCAGCCTTTCTCACTGCGCTGTGAGCCATTTGTTCTCCAAAGCTTGTTTGGCTTGAAACCAGAAGGAGCAGCAAGGCAGCTGATGCTCATGATGCCCCCCATCCCATGCAAATCCCGACTGCCACCACCTGGTCCTCAGAAGGCTGAGCCGCTCAAAGTGTGGCCTCGCCTCGTCGTCCTCGAGGGGGCCCCCCGTGTCCGACCTTCGTCAAGAGGCGAAGGCCGCCGGACGGAGCCCTCAGAGCCCTCCTCCCTTCCGGGGGCCGGGCCGATCTCTGCAGGAGCTCTCTTCGCAACGCTTCTCTGTACGGAACTTCTCCCGGAGCGCGGCCCTGAGTCTCACTGCGTATACAGCGACGCAGACGGCGCCTCTTTTGAAGGCCCTGGCCAGTTGGTGCTCATGGCACTGAGGAGCTCGCAGCTTCTGTCTTCTTAGTTTCTACAGTCTACAGCTCGCGGGGTTTTTGGGTTTTCCAAAGCTCTGCGAATGCTACAGCTGCTACAGGCCGGAGCCTCTCTGTGGGCCTATGCCCTGAAAGCTCGCTGAAAGCTCAAGCGATGCTTTGTTGAGCCGAAATGTCGAAGGCCTCTTCCTCATCATCCTTCTCACCATCCGACTGCAGCAACAGCAACGGGAACAGGAAGAACAGCAACCACAGCAACGGCAGCAGCAACAACAACAACAACTACTACTACTACTACAACAGCACCAGCAACAGCCAGAGCGAAGCAACAGCAAACAGCAACAGCAACAACAGCATCAACAGCGACAGCAGCGGCAACGGCAACAGCAACAGCAGCAACGACGACAACGACCACGACAACGACCACAACAACGACAACAACAACAACAACAACAACAACAACAACAACAGCATCAGCAGCAACAACAACCGCAACCATCGCAACCGCCACTGCGGCCGCAACAACAACATTGATCACCACCATCACAATATGACCATTAGGGCGATCGTCGTCATCTCCATCATCGCCACGGCACCTTGTCGTCGTCGTCAGCATCAATACGGTCACCATCATCATCATCATCATCATCATCATCATGATCATCATCGTCATCATGACTGTCGCCATCATCACCATCATCTCTTGGTTCACCATCATCATTACCATCCACTACAGCTACGTCACCAAAACAAGCCGTGCCCAAGCACAGCTCAGCACACAGGCAGCAGACAACCCTTGCGACAACTCTCCCAACGAGCTTTCGCATCATTGCTTCTGGCGCGGTCACACACGCTGTAGACTGCAATGACGGTGAAACAACCTACCCGCTCTCAAGGACATTAAATACGCAGTGTTCTGCGAGCATCGGCTCTGCGGCATAGCCCGAGCCGGCATGGCTCCTCCGAAGCACAACGACGTGACACGTTCTGGCGATAAGAGCGTTAAACCATTCACTCACTCTCACCCTCAACCTTCCCATGCTCCCACCCACCCTTTCTTCAACGTGCGGAGCCTAGGGGTCCTGTCACCCTCAGCGTACAGGCTGGAAATGCTGGAAGTACTCGGCCGGCATTCTGTACATAAAGACTTGTCTACCAAGACAACCATGTCACAAAGACAATGTCAGAAAATGCACTCGAAAAATGCGATACAAGTCGATGCAGTGTTTTGTGGCATGCAGATGTATCACGGCCATCTCACCTGTGCTACGATGTCTATCAGATTTTGCACAAAGCACCTGCACGTCTAGCTGAACTTTGACATGTGGCAGGCTCCTCTAAACTGCTGATGCTTTTCTGCGCATTCTGACTTGCATATATGCTCTTGCGTCTCGCTTGCAAGGATGCGGCAGACTCGCGCCTCATGCGGCGAACAGGCGAGGACCCTGGCAAACTCACAACCATGGTCCACCCGACGAAGAATTAGGGGGGAGTTCAATGGTGTGCGGCTTTTCGTTTAAGGGTGGGGGGGTGTCGGGCAAGCCCGCGATGGGGTGTTGTTGGGGCGGTAGGGGCACCTTTGGGCACGAAACATGCCCTATTCCTAAACCTAATGCGCGATTCTAATGCCACTTCTACATAACCTGCCTGCCTCGAAGTGTCTGGCCGCTTTTCATTTATGTAAAGCCGTCGCCATAACCATTCAAGCGTACATATCAACAAGATGCCGTTTTTTGCTTACCAGTTACAAATAGCTGCTGTAGATTTTATTGCTCGTGTATGCATGTAATTACATATACAAACGCGTATGCCGTATATGCATGAACAGCATATGCCATGCACCAGAACAGGTTTTGTCTATGCACCTCAGGATTTCACCAAATGTACAGAACTCTTCGGACAACAGCGCTCTTGAAGCCATGCAACGCCTGACGAAGTCAACCTGCCGTATGCTCGACCTCGCTTGAGTATTAAAAAAAGCTCGGGCCGGAAGTGCCATGCAAAGAACACTTGGACGGGTGCACATGGGTCTGTGTGTGGGTGTGTGCAATCGCGTGCGCAAGTGTTAGTTTTCTCGATGTGTTCGACTGCTCTACAGGATGTACACTACAACTCCAGCATCAGATCTCTGCATGCGCACGGGCAGACAGACATTTGGGCATCTTTGCAAACATTGCCAATGCTGTTCAATGCTACTCAATGCTCATGATCTATCTGAAATTGAACGTTCATCTGCCCTGCTTCATAGTGTGTTCCTATGAGAATCCAACCCAACTGAACATTTGCATTGAGAGGGCGACCATATTCAGTTGTCTTGATATGTTGATGTTTGCTGGCCCTGCCACGGTTCGGAGTGTTTTCGGAAGAGTCATTGCTGGTCGTTGGATGTGGTGACATTGGATGCTCTCGCAGCATGAGCGTTGTCATCGGGCAGGCATGGACGGGCGACACTGGATGCTTTGGTAGCATGGACGTTCTCATCGTCGTGGCCACTCTGATAGCATGGATGCTAGCATCGTGCGGGCATGGATGGCGCGACATTGGATGCTGCTTTTGCCACCACAAAGGCAGGTGCGAAGCCCTCAAACTCAGAAGTAGGTTCTGCATGTCTTATCACCAGCCCAAGTAAGCCTATGGTAAACTCCAAAAAGTTGGAAACCAGAGTAAGGACAACCAGTGCTGGGATTCCCTATGCACTACTCCTGCGGATTGAGGCTATTGGGTTTCCAACTGATGGGCTTCTGCTGCAGAGGAGGAGAGACACCCTGCAGAAAGCACTGCGCCTGCCGACGATTCCAGCCAAGGCCCGGAAGCTGATACTGCGTGTACATCCGACTGGAGGGTATAGAAGAAACCCAAAACACAAGAGAAGAAAGAGAACACCACGAGACAGCAAACTTTAAACCGAGCCTCAAAACTTTATGTGAAACTGGAGGGTGCCGAATGCTTGGGGCGCCTTGGGCGCCTCTGGGACCGCCGCCGGCCTGGACCGCTTTACAGCCCGAAGGATGTGTGGAAATGGTTTCAGGCATCTGCTTTCAAGTAAGGCTACTATCATGGAATCCTGCAGCATAATTACCCCAAACCCCAAACCCAAATTCGTCATGAGATCTACTTTACTACGCGGTCGACTCCCACACCGGGTGCCCTTGCGGGGCGCCGCTGGGCAGGGCTCCGGGGCCCATTAAATGCGCGGGCAACGGCGGCAGGTCGCCTGGGAGACCCAAGGTTTATAGGTTTACGCTTCGTGGGGGCATGCGGGTGTGAAGCTCAGGGCGCGTTAGTGTACATTCAGGCTCAGGTTGCAGGACGTGCAGTATAGAGCTGCAAAAGATGCCAAGAGAAAAACAGGTTTGAGAAAGGCACGCCACTGCGCTGCGCAAGTTACACTTCGTTATACCACTGTGTGTGTAATATATATATATATATATATATATATGTATGTATAATATCTTTATGTGTGTACATATATATCGGTATGGAACACCCATCTATCTATCCATCTATCTGCATACCACCCTGAAGCTGCAAAGCCCCAGAGTCAACAGCCTGATCCCTGCGAAAGCTTCAAGACCTGAAGGCCCCGAACCCTAAGCCCAAAGACAAACAAGCAAACCCCCCTTAGTTCCTACCTAAGCCCTAAATCCTAAAACCTTAAACTCCGAAACTCTACCTTCAGAATCATTCAGAATCTTTGTTCTTGATCGCATCTCTGGGGCACCCGGCCCTGTGTGGAGCTCCTGGAGCAAGCAAAGAGGATGCAAACGCGAAGAAAATCGTGAAGAAGCCGCGAGACACGGTGGCTTAGGGTCGCGTTTACGGTGCCTTTGAGGGTCTGTATGGGGGATCCACAAAGGCTCTGTTCATGTACGTATGTACGTATGTATGCACGTATGTATGTATGCGTATGTGTTTTTGTATGTGTGTTATATGCATGTATGCAAAACAATTGCACAGACATGCGAGAAGGGCACACAGTCTTGCTTGTTCAGGAGACCATTTGTCCGTGTGGGTGCCGGGAAGAGCAGGTTGCTCTTACGCCCCGGATGACCCACGACACCAAAAACTGACCGAAGCTCGCTAGCCCTCAACCCGAACCCGAACCCCAAGCCGAACTCCAAGCCCTACTGTCACCTACATCCGAGACCCGTGAAAAAGTTAGATGACACCTTGCCCATGTAGGTGTATGGCACCACCCAGTCCCCACCCTATAATAACATCTCTCCCAAGATCCCACCACACCACCCTAGGATAAGATCTATCTTAAGATCTCAGCCCCAGTACTAGGATAATCTACCCCAAGATCCCAGCCTAAGTTACCATCCTAAGAATACTGCTTACATCTATCTAGGTGCCATTCCCCTAACTAGGCAGGGGGGGGGGGGTCTTGTGAAGTTGCTCAGTTGTCAACTCTGTGGTTCTGCGTTAGCCTCAAGGTTCTTAGGTATAACCAACCTCAGGATTTTTCAGAGCTAACATCACACCAGAGCTAATGCATCAATGTCTTTGACTTGCTTACACCGATAACACTTCCTAGTAAAAACATGATTTGTTTCAGTGTATGGTTCGAAATCAACTGATATCTTATCTACTCTTACTGGCAGTGTTAATATTATATGTTAGAATAATGTTGTACATACAACTATTTGTAGCAAGATTTTTACCTTAGGATTTAACGAAACTAATTACGAAGTAATGTCATTTCCAAACTCTTATGGTTTGCCTATGAAACTGTAGAACCTGCTAGGCACGCGCAACCACACCACAAGACATTATTCAACTTGTAGTTGAAAACCCACTACCACGAAGTGGAAACAACTTTTGGAGAAAAGTTGCATGCAATTTATGGCGAGTTCAAATGCCTATTGAGAAAACACTTCAGAACAACTTTGAACTATTTTTGCACAGTTTTTCTGTAAGAGATGAAGAAGGAATTATTGAACTGTATCTGAAAAATCCTGAGGTTGGTTATAATTATACCTAAGAACCTTGAGCCTAACGCAGAACCACAGGGTTGACAACTGAGCAATTTCACAAGACCCCCCCTGCCTAGTTAGGCGAATGGCACCTAGATAGATGTAAGCAGTATTCTTAGGATGGTAACTTAGGCTGGGATCTTGGGGTAGATTACCCTAGTACTGGGGCTGAGATCTTAAGATAGATCTTATCCTAGGGTGGTGTGGTGGGATCTTGGGATAGATGTTATTATAGGGTGGGGACTGGGTGGTGCCATACACCTACATGGGCAAGGTATCATCTAACTGAAAATCCCTGGTGAAAATCCGGAGCCCTCCCCTGGTCTTACGAATCAAGGGAAGGCTTCAGAAATAAGACCCTTGAATAATGTAGAGCGGCTCTTCCAGCATGCAGCAAAGAATCAAAGCACACCGAGAAGTTTCAGCAATGTACAACAGAGGCGGGAAGTGATGCTGCACATGCTTGTTTAAGTCGAAGTAAAGATGAAGATCGCAATTCGAGCGCCCCCGTGTTCACGGTCTCGACATGGAGAAGGCATGGCATTGGCCCTCAACAAGACCCCAAACCCTAGAATCCTAGAAGCCCTCAAGAAGCCAAGACTGAACCCCGATTGGGTCTCCCGGTCACCAGTGGAAGATTCTCGGAGGGGCGTCGGCCTCCGTGCGAGCGGGGCTAGGGCTCGATTTTGTCTTATCAGCTTCTCAGCTTCTCCGAGATTCTTCTGCTGGAGTGACTTGATCTCACAGAAGTGACGTGTTCATTCCTAACTTGGCAACTAAGCTCACGCTCTCTCTGGTGGCCTTTTCCGGTCTTCAGCTGCTGGTGCGACAGCTTCCTGTGCGTAGCCGATCATACCAGAAGAGTACAATTGTACACTGTCTTACAGCTGATGCACATATTTCGGCGTCGACAGTGGCGTCTTGAAGAAATGGAGCAGCTGGAGCCATTGCTATGCTGGTGTCTTCCAACACCGTCCTGCGCGAATCCTGATCGTAAAAGAAGTACGCAAAACAGCCTCAGCACAACGCGCGCGAGGTGGGCAGCCTACAGTGATAACTCGATCCAGGCCCGATGCAACAGAAGAGAAGCAAGATGCCTGCCAGTGCAGAGCAGTGCTGCTGCTCCAATCCGTATGCTGATTCGGAGAGGCACAATCAAAGCGCCTATGGCAAGGGGCCATGCCCATGGATTGACTCCAGAAGAGGACTCCTCGTGTAGCGCGCGCGCGACGGTTCAAGACTCAAGATCATAGGGTTTCATCTCAAGTCGAAAACACTATACAAGCTGTTACAAGCTCCTCTTTGTGGCCGGAGTCAGCTACGAAGCCCACCTGGGCTTCCAGGCTTCCACTCCAAAGTCATTCTTGGCCTTTGCTCTACAAGCCAAGAGCCAGACAGTTGTGGTTGTCGTGTCCTGGAGCTCATCCGAGGATGATTCCAAACACTAAGTAGCCTATCAATTATAAACCTGCTTTGCTTGCACGGGGGCCAGCATCGAGCAGGTGAAGTCGATGTCTTGACTCAGCGCGTCCTCGTCTCAGTCTTGTGACCAACACTCCTGGAAGCCCAACTTTCAGGCCCAAACTGCGTAGTCCGGAGACACCTGGCAGCAAAGTAGCCAGGTTCTTTGCCGCAGGTGCTGCTGAATCGAGACACAACATCGACAAACAGAACCCAGCCGGGGTCGCAGAGACGAAGTTGCTGCAGGCATCTTCGCAGCCGAAGCAGGCGAAGCGCACCAAGTGTTTCCTGCAAGCGCTGCTTGGGCCAGGGATGCCGTCTGCCCGTGTGCAGCACTGGACCTGCGTGGATTGGAGCCCTCCGCGAAGTAGAGGTCGTCCCCGGCCTGAAGAGAGTCGCAAGAGATTGAGCTGGGCGCTACCTGGCACCGTGCAGCATGATCTCCTTGATGAAGCGGGCAGGCATCAGCGTCGTCGTCAGGACCTGCGGTTGTCGCGCCGCTGCGCCCTGAAGCGCCGCCATTTCGATCCCTGCCTGCATTGCGTCTGCCGACACCGGTGCCCGAGCCGCAGCCGCGGGTTTCGGGCTCGCGGGTTTCGGGCTGGCTGCCGGGCTCGGTCTGGGGATGGAGCTCGCATCGCAGGACCTGCACGCAAGGCATGAGAGAGGAGTGCCAGGGCCACGCCATCTCTCTCTCCAGAGTCTTTGTGCCTTGGCCCGGCCACGGCGTTAGGGATCGCCTTCGGCTGCAGGCCGGAGCCCTGGAGCCAACAGCCTCCACCCTGCAGATAGTAGGTGAAGACCTCAGCAGCACGCAGCTCGCAGCAGCTCGCAGATGGCTACCGGGCCCCCAGCAGAGCAGTTCAAGTGCTGCGCCTCGGCTCAGCCGCTGTCCCAGGCCGATGTAGGGTGCTTTCTTGAGAAACAAGCTCTGGGGAGAGGAGGCTTGGCGGCTTGACAGCGTGTGTCGAGCTCGGTGGCATCTTTCATCTGTTTTGGGTTTGGGGTCCTCCCCAACGGCTTGTCACTGCCTCTGGGTCGTGGGCGCACTTCTCTTGGCAGACGCTCGCGTCCAGCACCCCAGTCCCGCCGTTCACCGAGGTGACCACGGGGTCATCGTACCTCTCCGAGTCTCTCCGAGTGTTCTCTACAAAGCGAGCGGGACTCTGAGGGAAGAGCCCTTGACCCACAATGGCACAGCTGGGAACACCTTAGAGAAGCATCGCAAAAAAGACGGCAAGTATCTGCGAGTCACAGAGCAAGGGACTGGCTTGGCCTTGTTGCGCCACCGAGGCCACAAGAGCCTTGCCGTCGGACAGCTCTCATGTGAGCTCTAATCTAAACTCCTTGAAGTTACATAGCATATCACACAGGGTATTTAAAGGGGGATAATCGGATTAGACTGTAGCTCATGTGGCTCACGGCTCGTCAGCCGAGTCGGACGGCTACTGAGCAACTGCTCCGCCGATCTTTTTGTCCAGCGATCGTCGGCGAAAGCTCTTATGGATAGTTGAGACGGATTAAAGTGGAGCGCCCACAATTTGTGGAAGGGCTTCTTCGACCACGGGGCGCTTCCTGCTTGAGTTGAAGGCACCAGAAGCAAAAGGGGACTTCATCAGCTCCCGTGAGAAAGAGCACCCCCAAAATTCGCGTAGCTTTCTGCGCGCTTGGACCGTGCTGCTTCAACATCGGGGGTCCGGTTACCTGTCCTCAGGTGTCCTGCCTCTGCACAGTACAAGCCAAGCACAAGCAAAAACGCGAGCGGTCCCGTTAATGCTCTGTCCATTCAACCCGACACAGGAAGGCGCCGCAATGTCAACGTCATATGACGAAGGGCTGAAGGGACCAGGGATCAAAGTTCAATTGATCTGGGCATGCTGTGTGCTTCTGAAGCCGGGTGTCCTTCCTTGTTGGATGCAGGCCCAAACCTGATTTGTGAAGGGCTCAGTACCTGCGATAGACCAGATAGACCTGGCCAGAGAGCGAAGGTTGGAATCATGGATGGGGTACTGTGTACCGGGAAGGGCGCAGGACGAGCCTCACACTTCGTGGCTGAAGCGGCACTCATCCCCGAACTTGCAGCTTCCGTTGTCCCTGCACTGCAGAGCTCTGAGGCTCTGAGCGCAACGGAGGAGCGCAAAGCGAGTGAGCCCCGCCTGAAGTCGTAGCACACGCCTCGCTTGGGGTCGGAAGACCGCAGACATTCTCAGACTCTGAATGCCGACACGGCGGATGAGAAAGGAGAGAGGAGTGTCCGATACTCTGCAAACGCATGTGTTGGGATCTGTGGCGGGCTCGATGCTTGCACCACATTCAGAAAAAGCGCTGGAGGTAGGCGTTTGTCTGCGCACTTCCGGGGCCCCGGGCCGCCACCTTTGCCCTTGCCCTTCCCGCCCTTTCCGCTCTTGCCGCCCTCGGGGCAGTCCCGCGCCTGCAAGCGCAGAGCAGAAACGACTTCTATGGGTCTTTACACTTTGGAGGATCCCGTTTTAGGTCGGCTTATACAAACTACTACTACGGCACCCTTAAAAGGGATGCTTGAAGCGGTCGAAGGGGCGAAGTGGTCGCCGCCGCAGTTGAAGCAGTCCACGCTCTTGCCCTGGCAAAAGGCGGAAAGAAGCGATTTTCGCAGAGGTCTCAATGTCTGAGTCTGCACACGTCTTCTCCTTCTCTCTTCGAGGGCCTTGCTCTTGCCCTTCCCCTTTCCCGAGTCCGGGCAATCTCTGGCCACGTGGTCGCCTGAGGAGCGTCTAGGCCTAGGGGCACCAGAAGCCGCAAGCGCGCGCGCGCGCGCGCGCCTCCGCAGTTCCAGCAGCTCACAGGCCCCTACCAGAAGGAGCCGAGTTACAAGGCTAAGCTGGCACCACTAGCACCTCTTGAAAATTCAGTAGCGGTAGTGCTTTTTTCGGGCTTTAAGGTGGCTTTGAAACACCCTGGCCTTGCTCTTTCCCTTGCCATCCTTACCCTTTCCTTTAGGTCCTTCTGGGCAGTCGCGGGCGAAGTGATCGCCTCCGACAGGGAGAACTGAACACGTGCGCACACACACACAGGGATCTTCTCCAGTGAAGCAGGCTGGGGTACACAACTTTCAACTTCGGGTAAGTAAGGGAACGCTTCAATCTTCAGTCAGTGACTGCAAAAGCCCGCATGATGCATGATTCTAGAGGTTCAGCGCAGCTCAGCTCCTGACCACCGCAGTTGAAGCAATCGATGGGTCCCCCCATTCTGGGATCTGATGGGCCGTTTCGCCTTCGCAGCGCCCGCAAACCAACCGGAAAGCGTATGAAAGGGTGCAGCCGGCAGCCAGGCGGCAGGCAGGCGGGGGCTCGTGAGGTCGCGAGGATGGCTGAAGAGCCGAAACAGCTGAGAGAAGACGAAACAGCTCGAAGCCACGAAAGCGGGATCCGCAGATGCTGAGATCTCGACCGGCGCTAAAAGGCGCCTCATTCTCGTCCTCGCGTCGCTATCGCTTTCTGTGAAAGGCTAAAGTCCAAAGCGCGGTCCTTGCCCGAACCTTATAACTGCAACAGGGATTTCCCGAGTTCAGGGTGACACGTCTTGAGCCGGTGGGGCGCGGCCGGGGTGCAGGGGTGCACGCAAGCAAGGTTGTGGATTTTCAAAGCTGCAGAACTCTCAAAGGAACACCGGCTGAGCGAGTCAAATGCACTGGAGCCAGCCGTTTCGTTCCATCGCGGAAACAGCAGCAAGTCCCACTCAGCCTACTTCCAGCCTGATTGAAACTTGATTTGTCGGAAAGGTGAGCTCTTGAGATCTTGTTGAGCTGCTTGCTGCTTGTGGCGACCGTTCGTTAGGCATGTAGCACAGCTTTTTTCAATGCCTCTGCTTCGATATCGGAAGAGATTATCTTTGAAACTGCGTCAGAGACTCCAGAGGGCCGGTGATGCAGTAGCGATGTCCCTTCGTCGCGTGGCCCCACACGTCTGCACGCGCGTTGGTGCCTGCAAGGCGGCTTCAGCGCTGAGGCGGAGGCCCGAAACAGGCTGTTTCGTGAGATCTGAGTTCGGAAACCTCCGAAGCCGAAGGATGACACGCCTGTGAGCCCGCTGTTGTAGCCTCCGAGGAGAGGGGAAGCTAAGATCTCGCTGTCAGCTGCACGTTATGTTCTTTTTGGGGCCCGGCCGTAGTCTAGCAACTCGGACTGGAAGTACACAGGATAGCCTGGCTTAAGCTTGCTTCGGGCTTCGGACAGCTCAGGGCTTTCAAGGTGGAAGTTCCCAGCCGTCTGAGGCTTTGGCCGGCCACATCCAAGTGCGGGTTGAGCACGAGGAGATGGATGTTGGGAGCGCCCGAGGAGTAGTTCAACATGCAGATGCACTTGATCAAGCCTGGCCCGCCGAACGCCAGTAACACTGACAAAAACCTCAGAGAGAGAGCCCTGCTAAATGCGCATGTGCATGCTGATTGGGGGAGGCAGCGAAGGGAGAGAGAGAGAGAGAGAGAGGGACAGACAGAGACAGCCACACCGAGAGAGTCAGAGTGAAAGGGAATAACACTTGCAAAATCTATCTGTCTATCTGTCTGTCTAGCCCCCAGGGTGATGCTTTCTGTGCGCATACCTTCATACATACATACATACATACATACATGCATACATACATACGTTACATACATGCGTACATGCATGCGTGCAGGCGTACATACACATATCATTCATGAGCATTCTCATGAATGAATACCAAATATTGAACAAGAAAATACGGTGTTTTTATGGTTGCGCCCCGGCGGGCCCCCCCTCCCACCCCCTCCCCCCTATGGTATCCTGTTAGGTACTCTTATGTATTTTCATAAGTAATCTACGTGTAGTCTCCTCCTCTGTGGAACGGCATGGTTTGCCTTTTCTATTTCCCCGCCCCCCCCCACCCCTGTGGAACGGCATGGTTTGCCTTTTCTAGTTGCGTATGCAAATACATGCGCATATATATATATATATATATCCTCCCCTTCCAAAGCCCACGGAATCCATGAGTTCAGGATAATATTGAAATTTTTAGAAGTTCGGAAATGTTGGAATTTTTGGAAAGATTGAAAATATCTGAAATTTTGGAACTTGGGAAACATAAGGGTGCCCTTTTGGAAATTTTGGAATTCTGTGCTATAAGGGCTGCCTTTTTGTGGAGATTTTTGAAGCCCGCAAAGAGTTCTCTGCACTTCAGCCACAGATCACTGCCTCGTGTCCAATAGTCGTACTGAGCTGGTTCAAGCTTAGCACGAAAAGCTCTAGGAGCTCAAGGAATTGTAGAATTATCAATCTACTGGGCTTCTCTCGGTTACAACGTCGCTTATGGACGCGAACCCTGGACACCGGGGTAAAATTTACCGTGGATGTGATACCTCCTGAGCAGCTCAGGTGTGGGCTTTGGGGGGTACCATATACATGCGTGTATGTGCGTATATATATATATATATATACATACATATATACACATGTATGTATGTATGTACGTATGTATGTATGTATGTAGGTACAGTCTTATCATTTATACCTAGCTATATTCACAGTTTCTTTTGTTCTTACAGCAATATTGTAACAACATGTGTGTATATATGCATTCATCCACTCACTACTTGCCTGTTGTACACTTACTTGCATCTCTTCGTCTCTTTCCCTTCAAGGGCTTTTCTTTTCCAAAGCCGGGAAAGGCGCCCCCATGCCGGCCTGCCATCCCAGCTCCGGCTTCTAAGTGGCCCAGGTTCGTCTTGGAGCTGGTCTTCAGGATGGGGCGGGCCCGGTCTGCACGCATGACCTCGAATCTCACCGTCGCATCGATATCGGGGCTTGAGGTGTACGAGCAGTGCTACCAGTATCAGGACTTAGTCCAACCCCTAGATTGCTCGCTTTAGGCTTCCGTGGGGGATTTCGTTTGAGCTTGTCGGGTGCTGGGGGATGAGGCTCACAGAGCAGTCATGAACAGCAGAGTTGCAGAACTTGTTAACCTGTAGCCCCCGACCCCTCGCAAGGCTCCGATCTCGATCGGATCTCCCAGCGCGGTGCCTTGTAACGCTCCCAAGACCGCCCCAAACACGTCGCAGCAAAGAAAGTGAAAATCGTGGGCCTGTTCCATGGCACTCGGCGATGGTGATACTGTTGGGCGACAAGCCAGCCTCCGGGAGGTGAAAATTGCGGCATGAGCCGCCGCTTGGGCCCTGGGCCCCTGGTTGCGCCTCCCGCATGGACTGTCGAATGACTTCCTGCTGCGATGGGCCTTCGACGGGCAGAGAGCTGCGAAGTTGGAGCTTCCACCCTATCGGCTCCGCACCGTGCGGCGCTGTCATGGAGGCACTGCGACCGTCCTGCAAGCGGCTTTCGGAGATGGCTCCGTACCTTTCTCCTTGGAGGTGCGCCTGGTTCACGCTGCAGCCGATCAGCATGGCAACTCGCCCAGACGCTTCCACGGAATCCTCACAAACCTCCAAAGCCAAGAGGCTAACTTTCGCAGAATTTGCTTTCCGACAGAACAGCAACAGCAGCAGTGCTGATGGGGGCTTTGGGTCTGGTCATCCGGGCATCCGCACTCTAAGAGAAAACTCAGTGGGGTACCCACCCCAAAGCATGTAACAGCATTGTGGCCCTTCAGTGACTGGGGACGAAATGCACTGTACGGCCTCGCGATGACAGCACTAACCAGCATCACCACAACAACCGTTGAGGCTAACCCATCAGTGTCATCGTTGTGGTCATTGTCGTCGTCATGCGTTTTCGTAATCTTCCTCTCTCTGCTGATCCATCTTCATCATTACCGGCCGATCGGAATGGCCAACAACAGCTGTATGACATTTCGATGCGCGACATCAGCAATACTCGCACGACCAGTAATGCGACACCGACTACTCCTACTCCTACTCCTACTCCTACTCCTACTCCTACTATTCCTACGACGACGACAACTCCTGCTACTGCGACCACGACCACCCTCAACACCACCCCCACCACCACCACCTCCACCACCACTACTGACATTATCACCATTACCAGTACGACGCCGACGACGACGACGAAAAAAAACTGCTACCGCTGCAGATGACTACAGTGCTGCTTCAAGGTGGTTAGAGCTGACATCGGGCTGGGGCTCGTCTGGCCGCGAGTCAGCAACCCAGAGCAGTGATCAGCACCATCAGCACCAGCACCATCAGCAGTGGCGTCAGTCTGCAGCATCACCTCTGCTGCTATGTCAAAGGCAAAGCTTGCCATGGCAGCAGTGGTCTTCACGGCGGCGACTGCAGCCCGCGCTTAGATACGGCCATCACCAACAAGGGCTCGTCGGGCGCCTTCAGCTTGACGGACCCCACGCCCTCTCCTCGAGCGAAGCCATCCGCCGAGTTGTCAAAAGTGAAGCACCTCCGAAGCATCAAAAAAAACAGCTGATGGTCTCAGGACACCTAGGACACAGCACCTCTCTTTTGCTTCCTGGGGCTCCCGACCGTCCCTGGTGCGTAAGCATGCCCGGTCCGCTCAGGGAGATGTAGCCACCAGGACCCAGGAGCAAGTTGCTCCCAATCTGCGCAAGGGGCATTTTGGAGACCAAGGTCTCTCGCGAGAACTTGGGGATGACTTGCGTCTTGGGTGAAAGCAGGCGGGCGCACCACGAGGCCGTGCTTCAGCTCCGTAGTGATGTTGGGTGTCTGCTGATCCTCCAGCTTGGACCTCCCACTAGGAACCGGCACATAGGAGTTTCAGACACTCCTGCTGTGAAGACGCGGCCCCACTTTCACAAACTGCTCTCGGCCTCATCGTCATCTGCCCGATGCCCAAGGCAACCAGACTTGAGGAGCCTGCGGACATCTCTCCCCAAGCCGGGTTCTTGTCGAGGGCGTTAACTCAAGTTCCCATACTCGGGAGACCATATCATGTCCTCCAGATTATGGTAACTTAGATTACATCCCAAAGTCCTATCAAACTCGGCTCTCCTGGGGCTCCCGGCAGGCCGTTTCGGCCGTGGAAGTGGGGCCGGTGAGGCCGAAGACGTGCGACAAGCGATTCGCCGCTGCCGACCTCTCCCTGCAGCTTCGAGGCTCTAGGGATTTTGCTGAGGGTCTTATGAGGCGTTTATGGGGTTGCAGGGCACAGAGGGGTGTATAGGGCTTATAAGATTTAGGGCTTATAGATCTTATAGGGTTTTAGTTTTTCAGGATTTAGGGCTTACGGTCTCTCTGTCAAACATCAGCAGCCACAAGCCGAAGGCACTGACGTACATGTTGACTCCATTTCGTCCAGGAATCAGAAACATCCCTCCAAGAAGATTTAGAACAGGGTTAAAGTAATTCAAGGGGATCATGAACAGATTTGCCTGCCCGCCAGCTTGATGTCCAGGTCCTTGGACATCGTGTAGTGAATGCCATCCCAGTCGGAGCCTCAGAGAAAACACAGGACGAATCGTCCCTAACATTACCTCTCCGTGAGGATCGGGCCGGAATCCCCACAGAAGACGCCGCACTTCCAGTTCTTCAGCTCGCTTCTCCGGTGCCCGGCATTGTGAAGGGCCTCATAGCCCACCTGTTTCAGCGGCGAGTTTGGAAACGCTTCTTTCACAGCCACACCAGCGACCAACGGGGCCTCCAACATGACTCGCATGTAGGGGGCCATCTCGATTGCCTGCATCAGCTCTTGCCCAAAAGTCTCTGCAGGTACATACAGCATGTTGTTTACTCTGTATACAGATACAGAGGTACATGTAGATTATGGACACACACAATATATACTATATACGTGACGGGGCGTCTTGAGCGCTCCACGCCGCGGCCCTGGCCTCCCTCTTGTCGATGCCGAAGAACTGGTTGTCGAACATCTCGATCTCCGACTGCGCAGAGGCCGCCGAGGCCGTCGCAGAACGCGCACAGAAGCGATTGAAAACAGCCCAAAGAACTCAGACTTTAAGGGACATCTAGGGGCTTCAAGGGGCTTTAAGGGGCCCCTTAAGGGGCTTTTTAGGGTTTAGGGAAAACAGACCACGAGGTCAGCCCGGCTGGCATCGGCGCCCTGCTGGGCGGCCTGTTGGAGGTTGGCTCCGTGGCAGGTCATTGAGAAGCCGATGGTGTGCTCCGCCCTGGCAGACAGCTTCATAGTATATACTAAACGATAGCATACCATACCATACCATTACCATTGCCATACCATACTATACTATACTCTAACAGACTACAGCATACTGTAACTATACTATGATATACTACTAACACATTTCAAAGGGTAGCATATCTTAAAATACTATCATACACTATACGCATAACGTATACTGTGCATACTGTACCGGTACTTGGTGGAGAGTGGGGGCCCCGCCCAGGAAAAGGCGCCTGTAGTAGATGTCTGTGTCCCAGCGCTGGATGGGGATTTTGACCTGGCTCTTTAAATCAAGGAGTCGTCAAGGTGCTACACAAGGAGCCTTTTCCTGCGAAATTTCGGTTGGGGTTTGGAAGAATTCAGGCTCGGAAAATGTCTCTTTCAACATGCTTCTGAATGTCTTATGTCTCCAAGCCTCCGTGTCCGTGCCGGCGGCCAACATGTTCCAGTAGGCCTTCAGTATCAGAGCAAGTCTCGCACTGAAGATTCCAAGACACCATGAGAGATCCTCCTGCCTGCACCTCGAAGCCGAGACCGGGATATCGAGTGCAAACCTGGGAGCAAGGGCTTGCAGTAGAAACTTGTAGGAGTGGCAGCTCTGTAAGTAGTATCAATCAATGGGCGACACCAGAACCAGAACTGTCGCCGTCCCGATACTCGTGCGGCCCATACAAAGCCGAGCGGCCCCCATGACGTTGTTACGTCGGCCCTCTGGCTCTTCTGGGCCATCCAAGATTCGCAAGGCCTCCAAGTTGGCGCAGGAGTTTAGTGCAGTTACAAGTAGGACTTGGCTCTTTCTCTTTCCCACCTCCTCCTTGTCCTTCCACGCGGAAGGCACGTCCAGGACCCAAGACTGCAGCGCCATGTGCTTGCCTCCAGGAGATCTCTTCGCAACACGGACAGGGGCTCAAGGGGCTCAAGGGGCTCAAGGGCCTTTGGGGCGGTAGCTATAGTTCAAGCCCAGGGCATCGCAACGAAAGACGATGAGCTTGTTCTTCGACAGAGGAAGCGTCACCTCGCATCAACAGCCGTAGTTGCTCGTTTTCCAAGAAAGGCAACGAGGCACAGCCCTTCAGCCTCATTGTAGTCGTAGCCCGTGGGATTTGGAAACAACTCCAGCTCTCCACCGTCCTCGGCCGTCTCACTCTCAAACTCCTACATCCTACGCTTCTCTTCGTAATGCTATGTCCCATGCGTTGTCGATGAGAAAAATCATCGCCAGACGCCTTGCAGACTCGGCTGCTCTTCACAGATATGGGAACATCGCATGCATCGCAGATCTGCCGTGGCATGCCACGATGCATTTTCTCGCTAGCAAAAAGCTCGTGAACCTCTTCCAGCAAGTGGCGGTAGTGGGGCAGGCAGGCTTTGTGAGGCATGACATACCACTGCTACGGGAGATGAAAGAAAGCCCGAAGCAGACATCACGATATTTGAGCAGAGTACCTCTGACCTTCATACCCTTGAAGATGTCTTTCTAGCAGCTAAGGAAACACATCCGGCACCCTTGCCATTCAACATTGAGCGAATACATTTGTCTCCAAGTAGGTTGGAAGTCATAGATGGCTTCCTCGTCGAACTCAGAATGCATTGGTTGCTCCGCAGGAACTGTACCACTGGAAGGAGCGTGCGGGACCCTCAATGCATGGCTCCACCACCATGTCGTTCGGCGCTAGTGTCAATGAGGCCCATTCACCCATCTCTCAGCAGCTACGGGGTCTCCTGACAATCTAGCCAGGTGCCCTGAACCCTGGAAACCCAAATCCCCTGACAATCTCGCCAGGAGCGCTTGCCATCTACGAAGCCGATGTGCATGTCGAGCTCACTCTGCTCGTCCTGTACAAAACTGGGCTGTGCTCCCCTGCAAGCAGCAGCAGCAGCAGCAACAGCTAGGTATATATGTGCGTATGCGTTGACATATACATATACAGCATCTATATAGTAGCTGTAGTATGTGTGTGTACATATATATATATATATATATATATATAGGTACGACGGATTTATACACGTGTGGCGGAGGATTTAAACAGAGCACATATCTGGATCCCGCTCCAACCCATGACCGACCAGAAAACCCGTAATTGAAAACCTAAGCTCCAAGTGCGCCTGCGAAGTCCGAAGGTCCCAAATCAGTAATACACGATGATATCCCAGAAGATACGATGATGTACCATGAGATACGACAAACATACCATAATATACTTGAATAGACCATGTACCAGAATGTACGAGGAATGTATAATAATGTACTAGAATATACTATGATGTTCCTAGAGTATACTATGATGCACCATAATATAATATGTTCATACACGATAATATAATTACTATCAGGCGAAACTCCGAAGTTTGTGCTCTCCACCCTCGGAAATTCGCCCTTCGCTGCTCCTGCCCGAAGGTCCGACTCCGAACACCTCTCAGGAGATCTCTGCAAAGGCTCGGAGGGGTTTTGGGCTGAAGGCTGCAGGCTGAAGGCTGGAAGGGCAAGCCCCGGCCCAGGGTCCAAAGCAGGCGGCCTTCGTCTCCAGGATTGATTGAAGATCTCACCTTTTCGCAAAGCAAGCATAAGTCCGACTGCGGGTCTCTACTTGCACTGATGAGCTGCACCAGCTTCCAGTAACAACTCATCCATGCGTGTTCAGCGTTGCCACTCCTGCCGTCGCACCTCTTACAACACTTACTTGCCCCACCGCGCGTAATTTGGGTCTAGGGCTTATCGGGCTTCAAAAACAAAGGGCCGCGAGTTCCCAATAGCAGCTCATTGCTTGCACTCCAGCCAGTCATTCTGCCACGATCACTAGCCATATATCACTATATATCACTATCACTACCACTTCCTCTAGCACTACCACCGGCACCACTGTTGCGAAGCCAGGGCCCAGGCCAATCCACTGGTGCGCTGGAAAACTGCGAAAGCCTTGTCATCTTCATACTCCGGCGTGTAGGGCCTCGGGACAGATTCGGAAGTTAGATGCTTCCGGGGACAGCCCCCGAAACGCAGTGGAAAAGCCTAGAAGATCGAGGGAGGAAGGGATCTACATGAACGTCACTGACAAAGGGGTAGTTCTCTAAACTGAATTCCTTTCATAAGAACTACCCCAAGGCTACCCATAGACACCTCAAGTTCAAAGCACCCCCCAGGGCTTCGCAGAAACCTCCACGACTTTCTTGTCTAGTACAACACAGAATAGTATCATTGTAGTCTATCATGTTATAGTCTAGTGCAGAATAACCCGGTCTAGAACAAAAAGTATAGCATCATTGTAGTATCGTCAAGGCCTGGTCTAGTACAGCAAAGCATAGTACCATTGTGGTATAACTCCACTATGTTCTGGTTTGGGGTAGTCTGGCATCATTATAGCATAATTTAGTCTTGTCCAGTCTAAAGTAGAGTAGAGTTCCCGTAAACAAAACGCAAACCTGTCGATATAGTTTCCATCTATAGTATGGCACCATATAGTCTTGTCTAGTGCAATATAGAAAACGATCACCATAGAATGGATAGTCTGGTCTCCTAGTGCCATAACAGTATGGCACAGTATGGTATCGCCTGGTACACGATAGGAACGATAGTAGAGTATCAGTATGGTTTGGAGACTACATAGCATAGTCTACTCTGGCCTGTTCTACTCTTGATACTAGTACAATACAGCATTGATTTGCATCATTTTCGCAGAAGTGTAACAGGACCATTTGGCCTCTCCAGAAACCTCAACTGACCCTTCCGAGGCCGGGTCCACATCAGCGCTGCTACGTTCGTCAGCGCTCGGTCGCAGAGCTCCAGCGGCGCCTTGAAAGGCGAAAAAGAGGCAACGTTATGTTGGAAATTTCGATTTCAATCTCGTGATGCAGAAGAGGAGTCAGATGCAGAAATGTCTGCATCGATACCGCGACCGATGTGGGATCGTCCCACCACTAATACTTTATGCAGCAGACAAATGTTCCTTCCGGTGAGGGAGCCCCAGAGATCGTGATAAGCTAAGAGAAAGTGGTACTACCGGACCCTAAACGGCCCCCTACAGCGAGTGGGGCTCGGCCGCGGCGCCCCGTGGCCGGGCCCCCCGGCCAGGCGATCCATCTGCATGTTCGGCCCCATCTCCTCGATGTCGTACATCCGGAGCCCGGAGCCCTTGCTCGCCTGACAGATCAACATACACAGGCTTAAGATGGATATATAAACAGATTGATAGAGAGAGATGGAGATGGAGAGATGAAAACACAGACCGATACGGATGCGGATGCGGCGATGCGGATACCGGTCGAAAGACATGGGAAATTCAACAATGCACACATGCACGCCCCAGGAGCGACCCTTCTGTCTGGATATGGGTATGGAGATGGATATAGACACAGGTTTAAGTCTTGCATTTGATATTGGTATAATGTGCATGTACCTGTACTGTACATATACATGTACAGAAACACATACATGTACATATACACATACACATCCTCATGCACAGGCACATACACGTACACATACCTTCACGTATACATGTACATATACATATACGTATACATATACATGCGCATGTGCATGTACATATAACTACATAAACATATGCATGCAGATGCATAGACATATACATAAACATATGTAGATACGTACACAAATAGCATATACATATACATGTACATGTACATGCACACACACACACATATATATATATGATTACAATGCACTAAATGAGATATGTATTTGCATACATACATACATACATACATACGCACACATATATGGTCAGGCGTCTGGCGTTCCCAGCCCCCCCCCCCCCCATGGTATGGTTTGCTAGGGTGGGGGGGGGGGGGGGGCTGGCGTGTGCGGACAGGGGTCGGAGCCGTTGGAGCTGTCACTGGATGGTGCTGGCGGCCAGGGCTCACACGCAAGCCCTTCGCAAGCAAGCCGTAAACCCTATAACGCAGCGCGTGCCCTTGTTTTGAGTAACCTTAAGTTGCACTTCCAACCCTACACCCAACCCTAAACCCAACCTAACTGCAGGCTCTAAGCCTAAAGCAAAACATACACCGCAAATCCTCCCTAAGCCCTTGTCGACTCGAAGCGTTATACCTTGTAACCGTAAACCCAACACTCAAAAGCTTAAGCTAAACCCTAAACCCCAAAACCCCACAACCACCCCACAGGGGGAAGAGGGACCCCACACCCCACACCACAGGGGAGGGGGGGTCCCACCCTATATCCGGATTATTGACCTTTGGGGGGGGGGGGGGGGGGGGGGGGCCGCGGAGCGTGTGACCATATATGTGTGTGTAGCGGTATATGTATATATATATACATACATACATACATCTACACATATATTCTTCTATTCATTCGTGTATTTATATACTATGTATATGTATATATGTGTGGGTGTATCTGTATGCGTGCATGTATGTATGCAGGTACGTTGTATCCGTATGGATGGATGGATGGATGGATGGCTTGCTGGATGGCTGGATGGATGGATGGATGGATGGACGGACGGACTGTGAAAATAACATGTTCTCATGTCCTCCCAGACTTTGCCAACGACCCGATAGCTCAGGACTTACTTAACTGAGCTGTGAGAAGGTCGCTTCCGAACTGCAAGGTTACTTTGCCTTCGCAGTTGAGTGAGCTTTGCATAGCTACCACTTCAGAGTACTGTATTGTGCATTCTGGGAAGTTGCACTTTCGCACGGGCGGACGGACGGATGCATGGACATACATTCCTTTCATCGAGATACTTCTTTTTTCTGTGTTTGTTTACGAGCTGGGTTGTTCGTTTATCTCTTTACGAATCTATCTATTTGCCTGTGTATTTGTCTATTGTACTCATTTACTGTCATTCATATTTCAACGCACAAACGTGCTCCTGTTGCTGTGAGCTCTTCAGAGCGCCTGATAGCCGACGTACTGGAGCCAGGCCACCTTGCAGTCGCTCACATCCACGCCCAAATACTCCTCCTCGGTTTCCTCGGTTCCGGAAGAAGCTCCTTCTTTTCCAAAATAGTTGTTGCGACCCTTATAAAAACCCCGTAATAGCCATATGGCCATAGCCCTGAAACAACTCGATAAAGGCCAAGGGGCCGCCGGAAAAATCCCCCACTCCATCGGCCCCACGCTGCCTTCGATGTCCTTCACTGCCCTGGCATCCGAAGCAGGACAGGAGCTTTTGGAAGAGCTAGGGCCTAGGGCTTCTTTTAGGAGCTGCTGAGCGTTAAGGGTTCCTGTAGAAAGTTGGTGTGACGGACGAGGCCCTTCGGGGTGGAACTTTGGAGCTCAGGCCAGGCAGACTCGTCGGCGAGCTCCATGCTGATGACGCAGTACCTCAGCTTGCAATTTCTTGTTTTATCAACTGCACCTCGACGAACGAGGGGAGATCTGACCCTCGCTCAGGGGAGAGGCCCTTTGTCATTGACAGTCTCGGCAACTGCTGCAGAGAATTCCTCATGCTCATCAGGGCCCTTGGTCCCAGGAAGAAATGAACACGAGCGGCAGTTGCGGGCAAGCGTTGGCGTTGGCCGGGTGCGGGACGGCGGGCCAGGCCACGTCGTAACCGCCATCTTCCGGGTGTGGAGGACCGTAGTCCTCTTCCTGGCACGCCAACGCCGGAACAGAGGAAAGTGCCGGAGCCCTTCCGTGGGGCCTCTTCGTCTCGTTCACGGTAGACCATGGCCCTGCGATCAAAGGCAAGCAGCAAGCAGGCAGCGGAGGAGTACCAACAAAAAAAAAGGAGTCTGGAGCTTTCCACAGAGGCTGACAGTTCGGTGCCTTCCAAAGCCAAAGCTCAAGGCCCACCATGTGGCGAAGCTTTGAGCCAAAGAGTTGCCGGATGCCGGGGGTGCCAACGGTGCATGCTGGCGCAGCGCCGGGCGCGCCGCAGGCGGCCGCGCGCCAGGTGGCCGGGCAGTGCTTCGCTGCTTCGATCGTCTTTACCCAATCGCTCGAGAGCGAGAGCGGCCACTCTGACGGGCGCGATTCGGAAGCAGCGAGGCCAACCGCCCGGCTGCACTCTCCAACGGGCATTGGCTTTGGCCAATGCGGTTGGCCTATGAAGATGGCCAAGGACGTCCCCGTGTTTACGGGTCGTGGTGGCCTCCCCGTCTACAAGTGCAGGCACAAACAGGGGGCTTCTTGGCAAACTTTGTGCTACGGCTCCTCACTTCCAGGCCACTCGACTCCTTAGGGCCAACTCGACTCGCGATCTCCCTGCTCCCGGCTACTAGCAGCTGCCAGCAGCAGTGGCAGAGGGCTTTTCTTTCATACACGCGCCTTGGAACACCTGGCTCGAACTCCTTAAACACTTCCAGGCTTCCCTTTGAGGGAAGCGCGCGGAATCCGAGACAAGGCCCTAAGCATGAGAAAAGCTGGCTTCTCGCTCTATCAGCCACACGAAGGAAAGCAGCTTGTGTACTGTATCATGGACTATGAAACTAGAATATCCTTCTGCAGCTAAATCCTTGATTCGCAAGAACCCCGAGAACGAGAAGAAAAGGCGGAGAAGAATTCGGTCCGAGTCGGGAACCCTTTGTCTTCGGGACGGCTTCGCTCGGGACCCGGGAAAGAAACCCTGTCCCAATCCGCACACCGCAATGCAAGGAGCGCAAAATGCTGACAGTGTCATGCAAACAGCTGGAGGCTCATGAAGAGTGCGAGATCGGACGGGACGGGCGTAGATAAAGGAAAGCGATCTATAAGTTTTGTTGGCAAGATCTGTTGCTTTGGAGAATGATTCTCTATCCCCGGCAGCTGCAATCAGCTCCGGCTTCCTCTCGCCTTGCGGGCCTTGCACCACCTTAAGGAGCAAGGCCCCATTTGGCTCCAAGGAGCTCCTTGGAGCTCCTTGGAGCCCTAGTCCAAGACCTCCGAGGCGACCCGAGCTCGGGAGCCCATGTCCTCGCGCGCGCGCAAGGTGGTCGCTGCGTCGCGTGGCGGCAAAACTGCTGGAAAAAACACAGCAAAAGCGGCGGTGTGCGGTCCCTGTCAGGGAAGCTGTGGGAACTCCGGATCATTCCTGCCAGGGCACAAAGCATCGGCTGCGAAAGGACACGGCATGACGATGTCGCGCCTGGAGGAAGGCGCGGCGTGAGGGTCGTGAAGTCGCCATCAATCAGGTCTTCTGCTCCTGGCGGCACTAGAGACTACAGGCTCTCAATGTCCGGCCCCACAAAAGGGCTTAAGACGCTGCTTCACTGCAAGCGCAGCACTCCAGGCTCCGGAGAAACCCTGCCAACCTTAGAGCTTCTCGGCTTGTCCCGGCTGGACTTGCCCGGTTGCGCGGATCCCCCCAAACACGCACTTGCCCCCAGCAAAGCCGGGCTCCGGTGTGCTTGGCACTCCCTCTGAAAGTGCGCAGGCTGCAGAAGTTGAGGAGCGTTTCGAGAAATTGTCGGAAGGCGTGGCAACCCCAAAGCCCAAATAGGACGAATCCTTTCCGGCCTGGGCATCCGAGGTCAATGGAAGCGGAATCGTTCTGGCTCTCAAGGAAGCCCTGGGAAGCTCACACCATGCGTTGCCTTATTAACTTATGGCCATGAGCCAGAAAGTCTCTTCGGCCTTGGCGTCGGCTTGGGAAAGCCTGTCAAGGTCGGAGTCGGATTGCGTCTGCGAGGTGGAAAATTGAAGGCCAGGGGACAGGTCTCTGCAAAGATCCCGATTGTGAGCCAGGGCCATTGCCTCCTGAGAGCGAAGAGAGCAGCCCAAACTTCAAGCAAAAAGCCCTGCAGGGGGGAGGTCCTTGATGGCGGAGGGCGCCGTCCGCAAGCGGTTCTCGCGCCTCACCACTTCCGGCCTCGTCGGAGCGGCAGGCTCAAAAGGCGTGGAGACTCGCTGGTCTGAGCTTGCGGCCGGTGTGCCACCGGGCCTGAGCCGACGAACGCTCGGTTGCGTCCCTTTCGTAAGGGAAAGAGACGTTCGGAGTCTCTTTTTCAGCAATTCGAGATCGAGCGGCGGATCTTCGGCTGGAGGCCCTTCTTCCAGTCCTCCTCCAACTTCTGCAACTTCTCGTTGCGCTGCCTCACAGAGAGCTTAAAACGAACTGATCCCTTGCGCAATGCTCTTAGCGGCCAAGTCCCTGGCTGCTCCACAGAGGGATCCGCCGTCTTCCTCGAAGACGTGACCTTCCTGGAGCCACGAAAGCTCCCTAAAACTTAGTCTTGGCTACGGTCTTCTGTCAGCGTAACGGTCCCGTCCTGTGAGCGCTTCGGAGGACCTCGGTGGGAATGGAATTGCCCTCCGACGAGCCCTCGAACCAGGCATGCCGGGAGACCTTGACAGGGCTTGGGGCTAGGATTTAGGGCCTTTGGGGATGAGGATTTGGGGTTGGCTTTCGCCTCAAGGAAGCGCTATGCACCACAAGCTGGGTGAACGAAAGGGTAGCTTCCACATGCTGTGCAGGAGTGCCGAGAAGGAGCCAGCAACTTCCCCGCGCCTCCTTGGCACTGAGGCGCTTCGTGACGTCGTGCTGCAGCCTTCAGTAGTAATGAACATAGCCACAGCAATGTCACAGAAACAGTATAACAACTGCAATAGTAACAGTGATTAGGTCGGTAGGTGTGGAACTAGGTGGGTAAGTTGCTTGGTAGGTCGGTTGGCAGGTAGGTGGGTAATCAGCTAGTAGCTTAGATCGGGTGTTTCTGCGAGCCTTTCTGCTCCTGCGGCCGAGGAACGCGGTAGTCAAGCAGTCCAGGCACGTGGTGCTCAGCACCGCTCGCTTCTGCCATGGGATCTTCTTCGTTAGGACCTCCAGGGCCCAAAAGGGAAAGAGAGCTGGAACAGCTGGAAGCTCTGAGCCCTGCAGTGGCCTTGATCATGATGTCTTTGTGATCTTTCCCATCGTAGGGGTACGCTCCTCAACGGATGCCCAAGAAAGGATGGGAGAGAGGAGCCTCCGACTGGGTGGGCGGCCGTACATCAGAAGATACATCAAGACCCCGAAAGCCCAGACGTCGACAAGCTCGGTGTACCTGTCAGGGATGCGCTCGTTCATGCCGCTTGGCAGCTCACACCAGTCTTGCATCAGAGCTCTTGGGATTTGTCCATTGCTCTTCTCCAGCGCCGCCTCTGCCCGATCAGTTCCGGCGCGACCTGAGCAACTGCATAACCTTCCTCCTTCCGCCCTTCAGATCCTATTTTGCACTTTTCTAAGCAAGACATTCCGAGACTTGATGCCGACAAGGCTGCGTAGTGGGGAGATCCGCACAGCTCGGTCAGGAACCTGGGATGGGGCAAACGATGAGCCTTGCGACTCTCAACACCTTGCTGAGGGGATTGCTGCATTGCTGCTGCGTTTCGGCTGCTACTGCAACTGCCAGCCCCGCCAGTCTTTGCCCAACAAGGATTACGGTCAACAGGGTCAGCCAAGCTTCGAAAGCCAAAAGCTAGGGTCGAGGTCAGCAGCGACCGCTGTTAACGCAACTGCCTGTTATCATTTCACATGGCGCCAGTTGCTGGTCCCGTTTCATTGCCAGTGTTGTTGCTTCGGCTATGGCTGGTACTAAATCCCTGTTGCCGCGAGGATGCAAGCGAAGCTTTCCTTTTTGCATGTCGAGGCTCTGTCCTTCTTCAATTCTGCACGCCAATCCGAAGTCGATCATCTTGATCTCAGGCCACAACTCCCAAATAATCTCAATTCTACTTCATTTGAGGAGATGAGGACAAAGGCTACAGTAAGGTCGGGTGCATGCCCTCGACCATCATGATACGATTGTCACGCATCATCATCACCACCACCAGCGCCTCTGAGATGAGGCTTCCCCGGGGGCGCGGCTTTCGAGTGGATGGTCGGCTCTGCCAGGAGAAAGTTCTCAGCTTTCACGTCCCTGTGGACGATGCGCCTTGCCAGCACCAGAGCTGAATAGCTTCAAGGGACAAGAGCTTCGGGGTTTTGGGCACGATGCCATGATTCAACCTTCCTTGTCCTCCTTGCCATTGCTGCGAAAGGGGGCACCTTTCATGGAGGTATGCGATGGCGGCCAGCATCTGCTTGCCCATGAAAGCTGCGTTCTCTTCCGTGAACCTCCCAGAGCCCGGAGCAGCGTAGCGCAAACTCTCCCAAAGGACTTCGTATCCGAGTAAAGTGCGAATCGTTGCGAGCATCCTAAGGCACCCTCACCCTGCATTCAAGTGAGACTGACAGACTGCCTCCTCAGCTCAACGATTTTGGTAAACACTTCGCCGCCAGCGCAGTGATCTGTGACGAGATACCTTTTTGAGGACTTCTCACAAACGAACCGCGGTTCTGACATGCCGTTGGGAGTTGGGATACATGACAGCCCCGAAAGGTCAAGTTGAGACCTATGCACTAGAAGAACAAGGACAGGTGTGCAAACATGGAAAGGAAGAACTGACTGAGCTCTGAGCTTGCTGTGCTTGCTGAAGGCTTGCTGTTTTGCTGTTTGCTGAAGCAAACTCAGCCTTTGCAAGCAAGGCTAAGTCTCGCCAGGAAGCAGGAAGTGCACGTCTTCATAGACATCGTGGAAGCCTCAAGCCGGCGCTGCCCGACCACCCTCCTTCCCTTGGCCGCTCTCCTAGACTCGAAGCCTCTAAGCCGCTAAGCCTGTTGCAGCTGTTGCATGCAAGTGTATGGGCCCGGCGGATGATGTTCTCATGTTCCAGCTGCCCAAGCAGCTCCGCTTCCTGGTCTAGGTCTTCTCGGCGCACATTCCCGTCCTGGCGGCAAAGCCCCTCTGCCGGGAGCACCTCTGAAGCTCCCAAAACACGACGAGCCCGGGCCCCAGTGCAAATGAATGGCTACAAGCCTACATCCCCAACCTCACCGTCATCTTCTTCGATTTCCTCCATGCCTTCGCATTGTGATCATCGTTATGTCGTTATGAGTTATGACCATCATGATCATCGGCACATACTGGCACCATCATCATCGTTCTCGCGGCAATCATCGTCACCATCGTTCTCGCAACAAGCGCCACCATGGAAAAAATGAATCAGCATCAGCATCAGCATGAGAACTATCATCGCCGCGGGTCAGAAGACGGACAACATCCAAGAGCATCAACAGCTTGAGGCGGGGTTGAAGACTGAATGGCTGCAGTGCCCTTTGCAATCTCCATGCACCATGCACCCAAAGACTGATAAAGGCCGTCCGTCCTTCTCTAAAACCTTGACAGCTCGAAGCTCGCTCGGATCCTGCAAGGTTCTAGAGCGCAGCGCTCTGCGGGTTTATGGAGCTTCAGAGGTCCCGGCTCAAGGCGTGGAAATGGCGTTGCATTGAGGTTGCGGATTCGACTGGGTCGGGAGCTGCTTCTTGGTTGTCTGGGCTCGTGGGATTGCAGGCATGTGCTCTTGACGATTTTGCTTGTATGGTTTTAGTTCTGAGGTTGCTAAGTCTCTTGACGGCGCCTGAACCAAGCAAGCGCTGCGGACTTGTCCGAAGGCACCACTTCCTCGGGTCTTGGGCTTTTGTTTCTGTAGGGCTGAAATTCCGCTCTCGGGTTTAGGGTGGAGTCTTGGGTAGGGCTTCAGGCTTGTAGGGTTTGGGTTTGGGGTCTGGGTTTCCGGTTTGTTCGCTGAAACTGGCAAGACCTCGATGGGTGTCCGTGGAAAACCTGAATGATAGCGGCTTACCGCAATTCCGGATTGAAGATCCTACCACATAGGCCTTGACAAGGACGTCGGAAGCGATTTTCGAACAGCATCAATCGGAACAACACATGGTCGTGAAGTGCAACCGAGGGCACCCAGCACGTCGCCAAGCCTGAGTGGTGGCATCGGCAGTGGCTGGTGCTGGTAGCGGCGGCGGCAGCTCGTGCTGAGCTCTCGTTGGGGTTGATCTGATCCTACACTTCTGGTCTTCTTCCATTGCAGATCCCACGAAACGCAGTGGCCTGTCCATGCAAGAGTTCAGCTTGCTAGGTCGTGTTGGTCCCTTGTTGTCCCGTGCCTCATGCTGTACCCACCTTCTGCCCAGCTGCACATAGAAGTCCCGAATGTCTCTTGGAGGTTCGGGTTCGTCCTCGTCCTGAGAAAAGCTTCTGCTTTCAGCCCTCCCAGCTCTAGGAGTATCCCTGGGATCCGAGCAGCACTGAATGTCGACACCTGACCAAAGTGCAGACAGCAGAGCACTTGTCGCATTCATGTTCATGCACAGTCTGCGCCTGGGGAACGATGAGAAAAGCTTGGCGGCGATGGTCCTGACATGCACCACCCAATACTGAAGCTGAGCCCGAAGCTGAGAGATTGGCAAGCACGTTAAGCCTTTCACCCTTACCCATGTGCATTAGATTCATCAACCCCAAATCCCCGAAAAAAACCGAGATGTGACCGACGCCTTCTGCCCAGCGGAGGCACCGCAGCCCATGCCTCGCGAAGTCGGAGCAAAGACCAACCCCCGAGGCCCGACTCCTAACCCCATCGCATTTTCTGCAGCCTCAAAGGAACACGGTCATGGCGGCCATGGCTGGAGAACAGCACCACGAATAGCCAGAAAGAGAAATATCCAAATGCTTGCACTACGCTCACGAGCCGTTGCTCTGCTCCTGGAGTTGTATGCCTCGTGTCGTGGAAGCGGTGATCGGTGGTGCTTCTATCTGTTGGATCACGATCTGAACACCAAGCCGTAGCTTAAATCCAACAACACGGCAACCCTTCGCATAGGCACCAACCCTCACTCACTGGGGCCACTGTCACTGGAGCCTGCATGGTTGCCGGTGCAACGGAGCAACTGCAACTCCATATTGTATAGGGCCCAGCTCCCACTAGCGGGAGAAAATCGTAGAGCCCCAGAACACACTGTAGGTGCCCTTCGGGGCGGGGTTCGCCACGTGGTGCATCCAACTACCCAACAGCCTGCTGAGTTCGACCTTTGGCTGTGCGTTCAACTGGAGCCTGGAGGGCATCCAAACACCCAGCAGTCTGCAGAGTATGGCGTTTGGCTATGCATGCTACCGGAGCCTGGAGAGCAGGTAACTACCCAGAGTCCAACCGGAGCCTCCAGCGGCTGCAGATTTCGATGCTTAACTATGCGGTCATCCGGAGCCTGGAAAGCATTGACCTGCCCAGCAGCCTTCAACGTTTGACGTTTGGTCACCATTTCAATCAGCGCTTGGAGGGCATCGAGCTACCCAGCAGCACCACGAGAGAGCCTCCTTTCCGTATGGTTGATACCTCTGAAGGGAACCTTCGCAGTATTGCCCCGGGACAACAGTGACAGCCCATCCAAGGCGGACTCATCGTGATGAGAAGAGGCAACAACCCCCATGTTCTGAGTCTCCCATCCCGAATCTCGGTATCCGGCTGTGGCAACTCGCCTCCAGCACGTTGCCTCGGGAGACTCCAACGCTCCAAGGAATGCCAGGAAAGGCTTCGTTTCCAGGGATTCTGGTTTCCGTGATTTAGGCTTAGGTTTAGTAGGGTTCCGGGTTCAGGGGTTTTCTGGTGTACCTAAACTTAAGAACGACTGCGCAGGTGAAGTGAAAGCGGATGCATCCTAGACCGCAAAGCTGCGCAGGGAGGGGCCTTCCCTGACCTGAGCCGCGCACAGCAAGGCCTCGAGCTTTTGCCGACGGCCTTACGGGACACTGGAAGTCGGGAAGAAACTCGGCCGAGGGGGGGCGCTTTTCTCTTTCCGAGGTTCCAGCGACGCGAGAGTCGGTCGAAGGCTGGGAGCAAAGTTTCCTTGCAGCCTTTCAAGGAGGCTTTGCTGTCCTTCTTTTGCTCCTTCACCTCCTGCGGCGACTGCAGGGCTGCAGCTACCGGTACCCCCCCTGCAGAGGGCGCCGGGGCCCCGGCGGCCGTCAGCGCTGAGGGCGCCGAGCGGCTCCCGCTCAAAGAACATGGCACAGACGGCCCCGCGCCGTTCGGGGGCCCGCCGGTGCTCTTGAAAGAGGCAGATGGAGGGCCCGAGCGCTTCGAAGCGCTCCCGCTCCCGCTCGCTGCTTCCCGGAAAGGCCTCCGGCAGCTTTGGTCGCAACTCTTCTGCCGTCGCTCTCCGCCCAGGGGGTTCTAAGCAGCCGGCACCGAGGAAGCCACGTCCTGATGCGAAAGAGCGCAGTTGCAAGAGGCCGAGAGGGTCTGCCGGTTCTGCGCGGGTGGAAGGGCCCCTTCTTTTCAGTCTGCCTGGCTGCAATGGTTCCAAGCCCAGCCGCTCGCTGAAGGTGAGATCTCCTTCGCCTACAGCACCACCCCACTGCAAAGAACGTAGTCGACGTCGTCCCCGAAGGCAGTGCCGCAGGGAGGTCGTGGATCTCTGGCACTTCTCCGCGCTTCGGGTTCAAGTCTCTTTGCTCCGTGTCGATTCCGGTCTGCGCCGTCCTCGCCGACGCATCCGATGCTCGGGCAGCGCGACGGCTCGGGCAAGCGGCGCCCTCGAGCCGAGATGCGGCTCTGTCAGGCTCAAGTCTCCCGCAACTCCGGCTGCTGGTACTCCACGCCGGTCACCGCGACAGATGCCCTGTCATCATCGACATGGACGAGGTCCTGAGCGAGACATCTTTCTCATCAACTCTCGGAGTCACTCCTCCCGGCCACACCTCAAAGGGCAGGCATCGCCACTGATACTTCCTTTTGAACTGGAGGTACTGCTGAAGGAGCAAGACCTGTCATGTCCACGCCATCGGCATCATCCCCCCAAGCGCAAGGACATAAGTCAGTATGATGTATCCAGAAGGCACAGTTCCAAAGTTGAAGCCCCATCGGAAGCGATTACTGCAGCTATTCTGCTTTCAGGCGGCCGGGCCAAGACAAGTGCAGCTCTGCTTCCTGCCAGGCGGCGCCGGCGCCGGCAGCGATTCCCGGAGGGCCCAAGGAGTCCGACCTCAACATGAAAGGGTAGAAGTATGATGAGGTTTGGGAGGAAGTTGAGGGTTGTCCTCTTCAGCTGAAAAGCATCCCACGATGCACACATGCGGAGCCTCGAAATCCCAAAGCCTCTCGCATGAGCCTCGCCTCGCGGATGGCTGAAGGATTTAGTCAGGGCCGCCAGGGCAGCCAGGGCCGCTAGGGTTTTATGGGTTATTTGGGGTTCTCAGTTCTTGGGCTTCGACTCTTCATGCCGGGGCCCGGGCCTCTCCAGCAGCACACTTGTCATCAAAGCTACCTCGAGAGGGATGGCGTGGGGCCGTGGGGGCGGCCGTGGGGGGCAGCCCAGACTCAGAGCTGCCAGGAGAGCGCACGCGGTCAGCCTGTCAGCCTAGCTGCGTAGAGGAACAAGCCCTTCTGAAGGTGCTGCAGCTGCAAGCACCAGAATTCGCCCCCAAGGTCCGGCTTCGTCGTTTCGGAGTAGACCAGAAGATACCCTGCCGGGCTGGGCCGGGCCACCGACAAGCCTAGCCGACTCGGCCTACTCCTACTTCGCTTGAAGCTGTGCCCCCACCGTAGGTGAGCCGGCAGAGGCCGAACGTGGCGAGGCCCAAGGCGCAGATCAACGGTGACAGGCTGCAGAAGGTCAGGGCCATCGACAGCAGCAAAGAGCACCGCGCGGACCGAGCACCTGCGTCAATCATATTCCAGCACAGCATGTTTTAGCACAGGAGGCTGCGCCCTGCCATGCCGCCATGCCCTGATGCCCTGCCTATGCCGTAGTAGGCCTGGTCCTCCGGCTCGCACAGCGTCTTGGCTTGATCTTCGCCGTACAGGGCCTCCGACTCGAGCAGAGCCGAACCGCGACCCTCTAGAACAGATTTTGATTTTTCGATGTAAAGATGCCTGAAAGCCCGGCACCTGTACGACAGGAAGGCTGGACATCCCCAAACCCTGCAGGAGGCCTTCATCGCCAGGTACTTCATGGCGATGGGGTAGCGTGCAGCCTCCAGCACCTTCGAAGTTGACCAGATAAGGACTAGGACTAGCACCCAAAGGTCTAACATCCTCAAATCATGCTGAAGGAGGGTTGACGCGGCCTGAAAGGTCCCCTGCAGTGGGAAGTAGCTCAGGTAGAAGTGTGTGGAATATGGCAACGTGGAAGCCAGGAGCGAGAAGATCTCCTGAAGACCCGAACAAGACAGCTGTGACACGCACGCACACCCAGAGGGCGGGGCGTGCCTTCGGATGATCCACCAGCCGGCTCATCGTGTAGAAGACGGAGGAGCCCACCGCCGGCACCAGCAGCACCTCCAGGCCGGCTCCAGGCTCCAGGCAGCGCAAACTGGCAAACGGCAGCTTTGTGCGGCCGAAGGGACGAAGACCGTGAGGAAGAAGAAGTACCAGCTCTGAACCTGGAGCTGGCAGCGTCTCTCGGACTTGGTGACGAAGAGCCGGCTGCAAACCAACATCAAGCAGAAGGGCAAACAGCCTCGGAGCGGAGCGGAGGGAGGGGGGGAGCGAGCAGACCGGACGGAGCTCTCTTTTTGCTGAGCGTCTCATGAAGAGCGAAAGCGCGAAAGCGCTGGCCAGGCCGTCCCAGAGGGAGCGAAAGATCGGCCAATAGGTCACGATGTGGTGAAGGCTCGGGACCTCAAACGAAGCCAGAACCGTCACGGCATCCAAAAACACCCTTCTTGCTGGGATCTTTGAAGTCCGGGTCACCACGGTCTCCAAGGTCTCCAGCTGCGCGACTGCAGAGAAGGCCACGATGAAGGGCGCGAAGACCCAGAAAAGGAAGAGAATGCACAGGTAGCCCATGAGCATGTCTCCCCAGGCGGCACCGCCCTTCCTTAGGCGCTTGCCGCTTGCGCGGCTCGCGAGGCTTGCGCACGCTCTGTCACATCTGTGCGGCCAGTCAAGGCAAGGCTCTGGAGATCCTGATGCCTCACGTCGTCCGGAGCCGGAGCGCTCGAGACCAAGAACTGCAGCCCATCCGCACGGTACTGAACCCTCAACGCGATCTCCGCATCTCTTCGGCTCCAGAAAGTCACGAAGGCGCTGGTGCAGTAAGCCTCGAATCTCTCATCGCAGCAAATCTACCTGATCGTGTATACCATACGCTTCAGCAGCGGCACTCGGATGAAATCCGGCTCCGTGGCGTCTTTCAGTCCAAGGCGGCGCTGCTCCGCCTCGGAATCCGCCGGAAGCTTTCTTGGGAGCAGTCTTCGGAATTTCCCAAGGACTGCGGTGTCTTTGAGGCGGAGGCCAGCAGAGCGGAGCGCTCGGTTTGCAGGACCTGGCGCCCAATCAAGGAGGAGGAAAGAGGAAAGGGCGGACTCATCATGGAGGGGCTTCTGTCTGCACCTCGGACCAGTGGTCGATGACATCCCGCAGCTCGCCGCGGACGGGCCCGTCCAGGGTGAAGTCCTGCACTGATCTCGGCCTCATCATCGTCGGTCCTGGAAACTCAAGTAAGCTCGAAGGAACAGCTCTTTCAAAAGCAGCAGCAAAAGTTTTACGGTTCGGGGCGAAAGAGGGGCAAGAGCTTTGGAGACATAGCCATGGGCACGGCATGGAAGTTCCCTCCTCCGGGCTTCTTGCAGCCCAGCGGCGGCGCCCGGTCTTCTGAAGGTAGACCTCACCCTGAGAGCTAGAGAACAAAGCAGATGGGCAAGAGGCTAAACTGAACAACGATATTCACGAGATCTCATGAAGAGACAAGGAACAGCACGAGGAGGTGGTGGAGGAGGACACAGCATTGTGACCACGGAGAACTACCGAGACATGATGGCAGCCCTAAACCCTCACTCCCTGAAGCCCCAAACTCAAAAAGGCCCTGAATCCGAAATCCTGAAACCCTATGAAACCCTAAAAAGGCCCTAAATCCACTGTCGTGACTCCCCTAATCCCGCCCGAAAGCGCTTTTTCACGGCCTCTTGAAGCTGCGCCTCGGCAAGCTGAACGCTGGAGAGGAGAGCTCGGAGAGCCTGAGGGGACCCAACCAAAAGAAGCTAAGCCACCGGTGTCAGTAGTTGAGCGGTTGCTTTCGTAGGGGTAGGTCGCCTTTGTTACTATCTCTTTGAGCAGGAGGGGTGTGATGGTGTGGCAGTGTGGCACATGCAGGGAGGCGGGTGCGTGCAGGATCCGGGACTTAGGTGGAAGTATCGAGGTTGCGTGCGGCGTCGTGGTTAGCCCACGCTAGGTGCTAAGGGCACTCCAGTGTGGCGGCCTGCGTGTTGCGAGTGACATGCGCAGTCTCCACCACTTCGCGCCCGAAGACAGAATTGAAGTAGGCAGACAGGCCTCGAGTTTGAGAACCACCGGACATCGGTGGCCAGGACAGTGGAAATGCAGATGCCGGACTCTCACTCTGTTTCTCCCTCGCTGAACTGGAGGTCCTCTCTATAAGTACGAGCCGCTGTCGTTGGAGCAGAACTCGGGGGGGATGTGCTCCACCAGCAGAGTCCTGCAAGATCTTCTCTCCCCTCCCGACTCCCGATATGCTCATAACCTCTCCGGCCCATAGAAAACACAGACGTGCTGTTGCTCAGAGCTCAAACTTGCGCAAGCTTGCGAAGGGAGGTCGAAGCCTTTGGCTCAACTGTATTGCGAGTCCTGGACCTGGGTGCTGGCATTGACCGGAGCCATTGCACTCGGCGCACTGCAAATGCCCCCTGAGCCATTGCCACCGCCTTCTCCACCACCAGCACGACGAACCACACCTGGGCACGCGGCCGGTGCTGAAAGCGGAACGACAAAACAGTCACAAGACTGACACGAAGACCAAGATGACTGTGATGGTGATGATGGTGATGGGGACTGCGATGATGATGGTGACGGCGATGAAGATGATGATGATGATGTTGATGACGACGACGGGAACAAGCAACATAACATAAAAGAAAAACTAGCACTGTAGCAGTGGAAGAAAGGAAGGCAAACATAATCGGACCATCTTACAAACAGCCACAGCCACAGCGACAGCCGCAGCCGCGGCCACCGCAACAACTGCATTACTTACCACGACCGCACAATCAACGCCAAAATCACCTTCCTCCTGCACCTTCGCTTCTTCTTCTTCTCAGCACCATCATCCTCATCAGCATCAGCCCCGTCATCATTACCGCTGTTAAGAACAAATGCAAAGCTAAGAATACTGATGCATGCACGGACAAACACCATGACATCAACGACGGCAGCAGTAAGAGGACGGTACTGAACATTTTCGGGTGGCAACTCTCAAAAACCGCATACGACTTGCAATGTTGACAACAATAAAAACAGAATCCGCATGCTGAAAAAAACCGGCACCGTTGATGAGGACGATACTGATGCTGATGATGGTGAGCACGATGATGACGACGGTGATGATGGTGATGGTGGCTATGGCGATCATGGCGATGATAATGAGGATGATGATGACGATGGTGGTGGTGATGATGATGATGGTGATCGTGATAATGATCCTATTATTGATGATGATGATGATGGTGATGATGATGATGATGATGAAAATTCTGATGTTGATGATGACGACGATCAGCAGCAGTAGCAGCCGAGGCGACGCAGTGGCAGCAAAATTCATCATCATGCTGATCAGGACGGTGACAGTAAACCAGCACAATCTTGGAGGTCGTGACGGTGGCGATGATGAAGATGACTACCAATCAATCATGTTGATGATGATGATGATGATGATGATGAGGAGGAGGAGGAGGAGGAGGAGGGGGAGGAAGCCCCTGGGCCCAAGTCTCTTTCCTAGTGTGGAAGATGAGCCATGATGACGATCGTGCTAGCCGGAGGCGCCAAGCCAAGCACGAGTGCATACCGCCGACCATGGCTGATGCGACTGCTAGCAACAGTGATCCTCTCCATGGCCATGCAGGCCCCAGCACAGTGTCTGAGCCGAGGGCCCGCCGCAGGCGCGGGCAAACCGTGGGACCAATGACGACAGCGACGACCCACCGGAAAATGTGCTCCCAGGCTCTTCGGACATCGAAAGTCCTGGATCCCAGGACGGAATCAATCAAAGCTCGAGCTTTTCCCTGGAGATCCTTGTCGAGGAGGAGCTTGACAGTGCACGAGCGAACTTAGCCGGCTGTTCTGGCGGCAGTTCCAGGAACAAAAGCCACAGCGGAGTGCCCTGTCGATCCGGGTCAACTAGTTCCAAAGAGGAATCGCCTCAACACCGTGGCAGGGCCTTGGAGAAAGGGCACAGTCATGCCTGTAGGGAGACAGGCTGGTGCACTGGAACAACTGGCTTCGCCTCAATACAAAATGCCATCGTCCGGCCGAAGTCAGACGTCCCAAACCGCAACCCTGAGCTGGGGCATGGATGCGTCGAGACGGAGGCGCTCCCACTCTTTGCACCGTGGCGAGGGGGCACGGGCCTTCCAGAGACCAGGTGAACGCCAATGCCGGCTGAAACAGAGAGGCAGGCTCCGCAGACGTTGCTTGATCCACGTGCCGGAGCTGTGCGTGCCTGCACAGCTGCATTTCGGACATCATCAGCTGGCCACGCCGGGCAGATTGACTGCTACATGGCCAGGAGACAGGGATAAACCTTCGAAGCGGCACCCATTGTCTCCTCACCTCCTTACTAGTTGGGCTCATAACTTCCATAGTCCTGACACCACCCGAACACTCGTAGAAGTCCTAGTGCTAGCTATAGCAAGGGCGAGGGTTTCCTCCACGGCCGTAGTGAGGAGAGACCACGACTCCGTCCTTGACCGGAGTCTCACTCCAACGCGGACGGTGAGCTCCAAACCATGCTGTGCTAAGCGAGTGCAACCTTTGCGCGCTCAACACATGGCATGCCCGGCCTGCTCATACCTACACCTCCACTACTACCCAGAGTCAGTTGGACTATGTAGTGGTCCGACAGGGAGACCCTGCATCAAAGTCCGGTGGGCGCAGGCCGGCAAACCAACCACCACCCGTCACAGGCTTCCATGTTGACGCTGCCTATGGGGCGCAGGCCCTCCCAGCTTTCAGTCTGCCGAACTGCAAGCAGCCGCGGCACGTAACTCTGTTGAAGCCAGACTGGCAGAGCTGCCGGAGGCTGGCTCACTCAGCCAAGAACATCCACTACCCCATATGGACATGGAGCGCTAGAACCAGCAGGTGCGTGTCACGGATGACTCAGGGCTGACAAGCTGCCTGCCGCTCAGTGGGATCAAGCTAGACTGTCCAGAATATCCGGGGGTGGCGCACGCAAGCAGACAAGCATGTGTTAGATGACCCAGCGCCATGGCTTATGCTGCAGCTTCCTAGAGGGGTCGAGGGTACCACGGGTAGTATAGTTAAGAACCTTTTTCCCATAAGCCTCCGAAAGTTTTGTGGCTGCCAGTTTTCACCACCTTGACCACGGATGAGACCGCCTAGGAGCCCTACAGTGTCATAGCATGCATCCTGCACCATGGGGACCGATTGACGGCAGGTCATTACAACGTCCTGAGTACCGGAGGTTCAACTCCACACATGCTGGAGGATGGGCGAACAGCCACTCCAGCCACTGATGCATTCCTGGGGAGCACCTCTTGATCGCGCAGACTCTCCAAACTCAAGCCGGGGATCGTGGCAATGGCGATGGACGACACCAACAAGTTTCTGTTGAAGAAATACGGCGATACGTGGACAGCCGCCCACTTGAGCCTGCTGGAGTATCATGTGAAGGAGTTGGAGGCGCAGCTGATGAACATGCAGCGCTACGTTGACTCCTTACATTCGCAGCTTCACAGGCTCCAGCTCCATGTACACAGACACTCGTTTCTGTACAGCAACAGGGTCGTCAACAAGGCCAAGGAAGACAAGGTCAGATACCTTGATACCCTCGACGAGTGAGTCCCTGAGAGCACTATGCAAGGGGCGACAAATTTTGATGTGCAATCGCACAACACGTGCTACGGCGCACCACATCGTTCCCGCCCATAGGGCACCAGTGCCGAGCTATCACGAATAGCCCGGTGGCAACAGAAGTTTGTCACTGCACGGTGCTCGCTACCAAGACTCATGAACCTCTTGCTGCCTCGGAAGAAGATGATGATGTTGAATACGACGACGATGATCGTCGCCATCATCGTGATCATCACCATCATCGACACCATCACCGTCATCATCACCATCACCATCATAATCCCTTGTGCCAATGAGGAGAGGGATCGAGAAGAAGCGCACACAACAGAAACCACCAAGACCACAAAGTAAATAACAAAAAACTGTTGCGTCGGGCTGCTATGCCACTGTGAAGCCAGCATAGCCAACTGCCTGCGGTCATGCAGCTAAGCCCATTGCAAGGGCAATATTGGATGTTGCCGGGATGCCGTGTTCCACATTCGCCATACCAATCCTGCTTAAATGTACTCAGTCTGTGTCACCAAACTCAAAACTCTTGGCACTTGACCCTGCACGGCTGGGCCGCCGGCGAGCTAAGCTTATCCTCTTGCACAACCGCCCCACAGAAATCTGAGAAAATCGTCGCTCTCGAGCTTTTGGATCTTGAGTTGAGAGTTTTAGGTTCTGAATGTTGCCAAGCGGCAATGAAGTGGACACAGAATGCAGATCAAGGGCAAGCCGACGACCTCCAGGACAGCGAGGAGTTTAGCTCTTGCTTCCCTCTTGAATTTTTCCCTCCTCTGGTCTTTCTGGGGCTTCAGTCTCTCGGCACTATCGGAGGCTCTGGCAGCCAGAATCCACATCGCCAAATCCATGAACTCCACCAGCATCGCCGCATCCAAACCCGCGGCCACCTCAACGCTGGGCTGGGCCGCTGCTCATGTTCTGACAGCACTTGTAGTAGAAGAAGTAGCAGCAGCAGTTGTATACTGCACATTTTCTAAGTTTTTGGGTTATTGCGCGTCTTCTTTGTTCTTCGAACTTGCTTAGAACAGTTGTGGTGTTTTTAAAGGATTCGTGCGCGATTCTTCTCACGCTTCGTCTTCGGAGCCCACTGTTCGTCTTGGCGCCTCCACCTCCTCCGTGGTCAGCTGCAGGGCCGCCCGGAGCCAACCGAAGCGCTCCCGGAGCAGCTCACCTCGGAGCTGCCCTCAATCTTCAGGGTTGAGGCTGTTTAGGGGTTCAAGGTGTTAGGGCTTATACAGGCTCATACCAGTAGGAGGGGGTTAGGGCTTCGAAACAAAGCTTCGGAACGGAAGTCACGACTGCACACGAGCCTAAGACTCGCCTCTCCCAGCAGAAGGCATTGCACCACATGGCATCTGTGTGCAATATCTACACATACTGTACAAGGACACGACACGAATGGTTCGACTCGGTGCCTTGCCTGTGCACTGAAGGTCAAATGTCTTTCACAAGGCTTTCAGCGGGAGCTCTGCTTGAGGCCGTGCTCTTCAAGAAGCAGATTAGTTGGGCAGAAGATCGTGGACAAAGAAGTCTTAGAAGTCTCAATCATCGGATCTTTCTGGAGGCCTCACCGACGATGCGAGCCGGGTAGCGGGAGCCAAAAGGCACTTTGCAGCGGTCCAGGTTCCCCTCGTAGATTAGGGGATTGGCCTCATCTGGCGGGGGGGCCCCAAACCCCTCCCCACCCGTTCTGCGAATACCCAAACAAGACTCAGCACAGGCCAAACTCAAGGCCCAGCGGCCCGCCGCGCCGCCTCCACGTGCTCCATCAGGAAGGCCACGCAGACCGAGTGCCCCAGCAAGGCCCCAACCAGGGCCGAGAGCCCTCAGTCACTTTTTTGATTTGGAGGGGTCGGGTTCTCCAAACTACGGGGGGTCGCATTGGGCTCGAAGCTTCAGTCTGGCTCCCATGTTGGGGTTCCCTAAATGGGCCACTCCTTTCATAAGGATCCAACAGAGGTCTCGCTTCTAGACTCTAGACACCGACAACCACCCACAAGTCTCGCAGGTCTGCTTTTGCAGTTGCTTTCATCGCTCCTTCTGTCCCAGCTTGTTTAGGGTTGCATCCTCTGAAACTGCATTTCAAGCTAGGTTTTCCTGCAGGTAGCTGCGAGTACTTGCTGCTCATGGCTATGTTTGATGTCCAACAGAAGACCCTCTGTAAGAGAAGAGCTTCCTCTGCTGACGTCTTTACTTCTATCCCAACTCTAAACGTGCAACATGTCCCGCATAGACATGCTTCCCCACCCTCCAACGGGAGCCTCCTGCTCTGTCTCGTTCCACCCCGGAGAGGTCGGCGAGAGGGACGTTGGCTTCACGAACCACAAAGTTGCCCACAGCAGACACGGCCCGGTTCGTCCAGGACCTGCAGCGACTGCGCCCTTTTTTCAGGATGCAACCCTGCCAAGGCCCCAAAGGCCCCCAAGTCAGACTGCGGCCGCGCGGCCCCAGCGCTTTCAGCGCGCGGCCCGGTTGGAGCCAAGCATCCGCCTCGCATGGCGGCATGGCGGAGTTCCGTGACAGGAGCACTGGCAGGTCTCCGTTGAAGCTTAGGAGCGCCGAGCCCGAGGAGGGCCGTGGCCAGCAAGACCCGTCGACACTTTGGTCTCGGACGCCCCAGGCCCCCGAGGGGGCCAAGGCGATCAGAGCATCGGACCATTGCCCGGAAAATCAGTCGAAGCCATCGGCTTGAGCCCCGAGGCCCAAGACTGAGAGCTCGCATTGCAAAGCCGCAGTGGCCCTCCCTTGGTGCAAAGTCCTCCGGTGTCTGAGCCGACAGTGCACCTTTGACCGAAGAAGCAAATGCGGAAAGGAGCGAAGAGAGGGAAGAAGAGGAGCTGCGTTCTTTGAGGCGGGAACTCACGTTTTCGTCCGGCACGAAGCCTCAGTCTTCTCTGCACAACACGAATGTGAGTCTTGCACAGGTCCTTTCCACAACATACATGTGTACAAAGCGTTTCCAGCCGCGCTTCTTCATCGGCTTTCTGAGAAGCTCCCTCAGACTTTTACTCTCCGTGGACAGCCTCCGGATGTCGGATGGCGCAGGTAGCCCAAGTGCTGGCAAAAGTCCCCGAGAGATGCATAGCCTCAGACAGGAAGGCTCCAAGAATACCAGGCCTAGGGCTATGGCCCCCCGAAACCCCGAAACCCCACCTGGCAAGAGGTCACCAAGCTGCTTCTGCACGGCCACCTGCCAGGTGGAGTTCAAACTTTCGATGGCGTCTGGGTCTGGGCGTCCCGGCCACGGGGTCCGCCAGAACCCTCCGGCTCCGCCTCTTCGCCTCTGAGTCTGAGCACCAACCAAAACAAAACAGCAGACATGAAGAGACTTCGCCGTGCCTTGGAGGCCCGGTCTACCATCAGCAGGCCTTCGGCGAGCATCTCCTGCCCAGGCTAAAGCTGCGCCACACGACTCGCGCAGCTCTGCCTGCCTGCCTGCCTGCCCTTTTGTCTCTTCCCTGCTTTTGCTTCTGGATTCGCACGGAGACTAGCCCAAGCCAGGCTGGCCGAGAGAAGGGCCAGGACGGAGAGGGCGAAGCCTCGCTTCAGGAGGTTTTGGACCTCCCGAGGCGCCCGAAGCTCCCCGTGCCTCGCCTTGAAGCCTCGCAGCGTCTCCCTGGAGGCCTCGCTCAAGGAGCCCTCCAAGGCCTTCGAGGCTTTGGTGGCGGCCTGGTTGCGACGCAAGGAGGCGGCCAGCAGCTGAGGCGTCTCCTCCACGAGGCCCAGGATCTCCGCCTCCTCCAGAGCCCGCTCCACGTTGCTCTCATCCACGAAGTTCGCCGACACCGCCACGGAGGTTTTCATGTTCTCCACCTGCTGGAGCACGGATCTGGCACGGCAGACCTAGATCGAGCAAGCAGCTCTACCACTGGCACCACTACAGCGCAGCTACAAGTAGCAGCTTGCGCAACCCTCGTCGAGCTAAAGCACTTTGGATTCGGATTTTGCAGCGGCGCCTGGTGAGGCCAGCCTGCGGGCACGAAGAGGAGATCCGAGGGCTCCAGCAGGACCTCCGCAACAGAAAGCTGGGAGGTGGCGTCTGCGTCGACGGCGTTGAGATCCTTTGGGAAGACGGGGTTCAGGTCCGTGAGATAGAGGGGACGAAGGAGGCAGAGATCCTCTGCACTCACCAGCCGCCAGCGCTTCTGCCCGTGGCAGAGCATCATCCAAAAGTGCGTCTGCAGCGTGTCCACGTGAAGCGAGGATCCCGTCCCCTGCGGCGCCAGGAACAGCGTGGGCCCCGCCGAGCCCGTCACAGGATGAACTTCTGCAGAGGCCGAGGTGTAAAAGTCCCTTGGGAAGACCTGTCAGAGGCTTTCCTCCCTTCCGAAAAATTGTCGAAACCAATGTGCGGGAGCTAAGGGATTTCTAAGCAAAGTCTTCGCCTGGCTGGGCATCAGCAGCTCGCGCCCGATGCGGGTGTCCTCACAGTGCTGCCAAATTGAATGGTCGAAGAGCTGAGGGCTGTCCCTCGGTGCCAGCATCCCTTCCGAGAGGTAGGGCACGATGTGCTCATCATAGAAGTCAGCGAACGGCACGGCGCTCACGAACTCGAGCCTGCACGCTGCCCGAGCTTGACAAACGGCAACGTGTGCAAGACGTGGGAGAGCGGGGCGTGGGGATGTGCAGTTGCGGGCGAGTGCGTCTTAGTCTTCCGGTTCGAGGCATTCGGCGAAAAGTCGAGCTGCGCTCCACGAGAAAGGCTGAAATATGCGGAGCCAAGCGGCGCTGCCCAATTGGCCGAGGCATCCTCACAGCGCCGGATGGGCACCCGCCGGTGCCCCAAGATTTCTCGCAAGTCCTCTGGCGTCCAGCGCGGTGTCTGGAAGCCCCGCAAGACGAAGGGCCTCTCTTTTCCAGGCACGAGGAAGCTTCGGAGCTCCTCCCGCGTCCGCCTGGTGGAGCCCGGCGGCAGAATCTCCAAGTCCCAGGCTGCAGAGGCTGAAGAGCGAGAAGAGCGCGGCGGCCCGCCGGGCCCGGGGCGAAACCGCTTAAGGCGCTGCTCCTCCCAGCGGAGATGCCGTTGAACGATCACCCCGAGCAGCGCCGCCGCGGCTTTCTGCGAGGAGGGTGCGGCCTCCGCCGCCTCGGCCTCTGCGATTCTCAGCTGCTCCGCTGCCTCCCGGTGCCGGCGACTGAGGTCCAAGCAGGACGCGAGCTGCGCCCGCTCCCAGAAGGCGGAGGAGCTCCGCGCTGAGCTCTTCAGCTGCTCTTCGAGGTTTCGGAGGCGACGCAGCGCTTCCGCCGTGCCTTGGACCACCTCCAAAGGCCTCAAAAAGCCGCCTCCACCGGCGCCGCCGGCGCCGCCGGCCGCGTCCGCACCGCAGACTCTTTGGAGGAGGTCACCACGCAGCTCCCGCCAGGCGCGGCGCGCCATGGCGCGCCATCTCGAAATAACCGAACTCCAGACTTCCAACGCTCAACGAAAGACAGACACGACCAAGAATCGCATCACTCGGCGACAGCATCAGATGCACAAAAGAAAAACTGAATCCCCGTCTCCCCGCCTTCTCTTTCTTAACGATGTCCGTGTAGACCTCGTGGCGGCGAGACGACCGGCGACCGATACCAGTAGAAGAGCAGGTCGGTGCTGTGATCGTCTCTGCAACTCTTAGCGGTCTGCCACGACCGCTGCCGAAGGATCGAAAGCGGCTGAGACCTGTGCAAAACGTAGAGGCGCTGGCCCTGGAAGCCCTAAGAGTTTCCCCCCAAAAGCCCCCGGCCCCTGGAAAACGCGGCTGAGGTTTGTTTCGGTCCGGCGGCTGGCCGAAGCGCACACAAGGGACCTCCGGCTGCACACACACAGAGCCTCACAGCGAACGGGCAAGGGCCAAGCCTTCGGCTCCATGACCATTCGGACGCAAGAGCAGCTCGTCCATCTAGGACCCCCGAAGCATGGCGTTTGCTAACCAAGGGGTTTTTGGAGGGATCTTCAGCGGTTCTGAGGGTTCTGCCGTGGGTGTTTGGCGCGGTGAGGGTTTTGGGAAGTTGCCAGGCTCATGAACTACCTGGAAATGCCTTCCCGACTCCTCCAAGAGAGCCAACGGTCTCCACCAAGATGCCAAGATGAAGCGCACTCCGGACCACAAAGCAGGCTTGTCACGAGTTGCCATGGTCGGCAGCGTTCAGCATGTTTCTTCATTCTTGCATGCTCAAGGCGCTGCCTTTGGCATGCGCCGGTGGTGCATTATCACAGCCGCGTACCGCAGCTCCCTATGTTCATTGGTGCATATCTTGGGATGAGCTTGAAAAGTGTGTCAGCGGGCCATGCCTCAATGGGTCATGTGGTGTTCTGCCTGTGGGCCTATCCTGTCCTATCATGTTCCAGACTTAGACTCGTGGGCTGCCTCAGTCCACAGCATCTGATGGCCAAGCAGCGCTACTCCTGGGCTCCAATCTTGTCACAGCTTCTCACAAGCCCTGCTTCACAGGCCCGATCCCCTCCTTGTCGAGGATCCTCGAAGACCACGCCGACCGTCCCATCCTCGAGGCACGAAGACGACGCGACGCCTTCCCCGCCACGATCCGCCTTCCCCGCGCCCCGCGAGCCGCGCCGCTCGCTTCCGCTTTCTTGGGCGCCGGCTGGATGGGAAGCGCCTGCAGCTGACCGCTTCCCGGACCCGCTTGGGCCTGCTGGACGGGCCTTGTTTTCGGGAGGCGAAGAAGAAGCGCGACTCCTCCTATACAAATTAGCCTGATGATTTCTGACTTGACTGAGCGGCTGGCGAGGACGAGGCCGACTTCCGCAAGTTGCCCTGGCCCTGGCCCTCCTCGCCAGGTGTCCTCCGGAAGGGCGGAAACCACAAGGGAACAGAGCTTTCGGGGCCGGAGAAGGGGCCCCTTCGGCTCCTCTCTGCTTTGCCCTCAGCACACACAGCGAGTTCTCTCTGCAATACTGCAAGCTGGCCCTGTGCCGCTTCAAACAAGCTGCGATGCAAGTGGATTCTGGGACCACCTCGCTCTTGACCTCAGACTTCGGCTCGCGTTGATTTGGGACGGGCTGGGAACCTCCGAGGCAACTGCAAAGCGGCTTGTGACTGCTGCAAAGGAGTCGGTGGGGCTGTTGCCGTCGGCGTATCCTGCAAGGGTGCAAGGGCCAGCAGCTTGTGTGCCAGGTTACTGGCATGTCGCTGCATGTCGCTGTTGCCGGTTAGTCACTGTTCCCCCTGCACTTCCATACTAAAACTTGATGCTTGTACATGCAGCCTGATACAGTAATCCTGCATAGAAAACTCTTTGTCTGCTACTCAAGGCTGTCTTTGCTGTCCCAAACCTCCATTGCAAGCTTCCCTTCTTCAGACATCCGCCCCCCCCTCCCGTTGTCTACCTCGGTATCTTGAGGGCTTCCTACATCCACAAGTGTAGCGGGCACGCCTTCGAAAGACTATGGAGGACATCCACATTTCGAGTTTCTCTCAGCTCAGGTGCTTCCCACAGACTTCCGGGGATCCTTGCTTCCGACGCACAGCTCCCGCGTATGGACTCTGATTTGGGGATGCCGCGCTACACTCAAAACTCTTGCAGTCAGCCCTGAACCCTCAAATCCTAAACCCAAAGCCCCAACATCCTGAAGCCTAGAATCGCAAAACCTGAACGGCAAGACCTAACTCCGTGGTACCTCAACCCTAAAGCCAAACTCCTAAACCCAAGTTTGGATCATCTTCAATGTAGATGCTTATCTGTGTGGTCATCAGCGCAAAAACCATTACACCTCTGTGGTTACTGAATAAAGCACATACTGCAATGGTCCCTGTCGAATCACAAACGTGCGTGGCGGCTGGCCTTGCTTGTTCATACTCACCGCCAGTACGCGTTACGATGTAAATCATTTCTCTATCACTCCACAGTGGTTTCACACGTTTCTGTCTTATCTTCCATCTCATAGCCCCGCATCGAAACACAAGAACAACAGCGAGACTCATCTCTTGCAACAAATACTCCATAATACGAAGAGAGCAAGAGAGAGAGAGAGAGAGAGAGAGAGAGAGAGAGAGAGAGAGAGAGAGAGATTTTTGTCTTGAAGTGTTTGTTGGTAAGATGCTTTTCAACCCCTACAGTAGACATTTCTTCAAAGCCGTTCCGAAACCCCCCAAAACCCCCTCAAAAATTAGAACAAAGCCTCTGGGCCTGCCCGCACGGCACCTGGACTCCTCTTGACCGGCCCTGCCTTCAGCGCGAGAGCGATGCTCTCCGAAGACGAAATTGATTGGGGGGGGGGGGAGGTTTGGGGGTTTGGGGGGGAGGTGTTTGGGGGGGTGTTTTTTTGGGGGGCCTTTGCGTTCTTATCGGAGCGGAGTGGTTTGGTCTAGGGAAGAAAGGAGCCTACTTGTACTCTTCGAAACCTTCCGAACCTAGGCAAACGGCTCCGAAACCCACGAGCCTTGGCTCAGCGTCGTCATTCTCGTCATTTCACTCATGCAAGTACGGCTGACTGCTATGTACTGGTAGCAGATCCAGCAAGGAAATGTAAGGGAAAAGTAGCCTCAAAGCCTCCTTCTTGTCTGCGCTCCAGTCTCAACCAGCCGGGTTGCTATCATCAGGAGAGGCGCAAGGAAGGTGAAGGTGTACGTGATGGCGATGATTGCGTTCAGCATCAAGGTCCAACCAAGCTTTCCTTTCCATGCTGAGCAGAAAGGAGTGCTGCTGCGGATTGATTGGGGAATCGAACGCATTTCCAAGCATAAGACGACGAAAGGCTTGCCAAATCGGCAGCAACAACGATAACAACTAGCAGTAGCAGCACCAGCAGTATAGCAGTAGTGGCCATGCGCGCCCCTAGACACCTGGCGGTGCTCGTTTTTTGATGTGTCAACAAGCGCTGGCTTTTCTTCCGACATCGTCAATCGCACTGTAAGTATCATGAACACACAAAAGAGCGACATCCTGTCACCAACTTGTCATGAAAGCAATCAAGGGCGACGTCATGCTCTCGGCTCGGACTCAAGACTTCTGACCAACAGGCAGACCACGAAAGATGCCTCTGACGATCGAGACGTGAGGATGACGATGACGACAACGATCATCATCATCATCATCATCATCATCATCATCCTCATCATTATCATCAGGGTCGTCATCAGCAGCACTAGCAGCATCCCGCTCTTGAGCGTATACGAGACCATTTCTGGCAAGCTTCTGAAAAGCAAGATGCGGCATGGAAGTAGGAACGCGCAGCCGGCAATCGTGGTCAAAGCGCCTTTGCCAGAAACTTCGTAACTCGCTTACAGCGAGACTCACAGCATCCAGAAGCTTGAGCCTCCCAGTATGGTCGGCGTGAGCATTACGAGCCTGGGCGGCTCAGTGTGTGCACAAAACTTCTGCAACCAATCAGCCCCATGTTCGCACAACGCGCCGCATGCTGCCGGGCTGCGCATGGTGCACCCGTACCTTGGCCTGCCGGCCACTGGCCGTGTGGTATCCTCGCGCATCAGGAGCGTGCAGTCTCCAGCACTTGTTTTTCTACATCGGCTGTCTCTCCCTTTGCTTTCACTCTCCCCCTGGGCCCCGGGGCTGCACGGAGCCCTGAGGTCCGTGTGCTAGATGGAGGCAATAGTCAACACTGAGGCCCACGAAGATCGTCGCTCCGATCGCTTCGACCACGCCGAAGTCGTAGTCCAGGATGTTCCTCCAAGAATCCGTGTTTAAGGACGGAGTGCGGCTCGGGTGGCCTCGTGTGCATCTAAGGCTCAGGAGGAAGCCCGAAAGGACCGAGACCACCAGCAAAATGTTCAAGCACACATAGAAGGCCAGCACTATGTCCCGGGTAAAGAGCGCCACGGCCACCATCGAAGTGGATAAGGAGAGTGAAAAGGCCAGGATTGTGCTGGAGAAGACAGACTCCTCAAGGGCCATGCTGGTCCACACCCAGGACACCATCATGGCTTGTCCTTGCAGGCTGTGCGAAGGACCGGGGGAAGGAGGTGCACTGCAGTGCCTTTCTACCCCCAACCCCATGAGTCAGCGCCAGTCCAGCTTCTGGTGGAGCCCTTTGGTTCAAGGACTCTACATACTCCTGGAGCAAAGTGCTGCTGTGCTGGACATCTTGGCAGAACTTCTGACAGAAAATAGCGGCGCCTGCCAGCGCTGCCGAACCACATCCTTCTGCTCCTTTGCAGCATTCACCGCCATGTTAACCTGCACAGATGCACAGACAGCAGAATAGAAGCCGCTGCACATCTTCGCACGCCTTCATGCGGAGCCTGGAGAACATCACACGGCCTGCCTGGGCTCTGGGCTGTCGACACGACGTCACTTCTGGGGTGTAAAACGATCAAGCCAAGGGCACAAATCACGAAGCTCTTTTCAGCACGCGCTCTTTACCGAAACTAGTTTCGCCGTCAAGCGGCTTGTTCAATCGGATTCGGTGCTGTACGGCTGCCATATGCAAGCGCATGTCACGAGGCTTGCATTCGAGCTGCGGCTCTGTTTTAAATTAAAACCAGATCCGCATTCGTGACCGGACTCTGGCCGCCCAGGGGCAAAGTCCTCACCAGCTGTCCGGACATCCTTCTGGTAACCTTGAAACAGAAGAGTGTACGGGGGAGGACAACGGGGCCCACGGGGCGAAGAGCTCTCCGCCAGGAAGCTATTCAAGCTGGCCACGTTCTGGTGCATGAAGGCCTGGACCCCGTCGGCAAGAATTCATCTCATCTTCTAACATGACCTGTCCAGCTCTCTTGGCTCTTGTCTCTTCTCGTCATCTCTTTTCATCTCTGTTTTGCTCTGCTCTTCTACTTCACCTTGCTACACAGTCAGGGGGGGACTCTGTACGGATGCGACCTGAGAGGTACCGGTTTGCTCCCTGACTGAACAAAAAACGCTTATGATGCGGATTGACCGACGGCACATAGGCCCAGACTAGTCGAATTGCAAATGGAGAAGAAATTCATTGGCATCTTTCAAGGACCTGAGTCCACGCTCCTTCCTCCAAGCTTGTGCTTTCCAGGTTGGAGCATCAGCTGGCATGCTCCGAACATCCCCCAGCCTCAAAGGCGCGCCCTGAAAGCTGCATGTGCAAACATTTCTTGCTCTTCTTAGTCTTAGACTCACTCCGGCTGGTTCGCCTGGCCTCTGCTCCTCTGGTTTTGCCCTCCTCTCACTGCCCGCAGCCGCCAGCCGCCGTCAGTGTCCCCCGCAAAATCCCTGGTAGCCTTCCAGTGTAAAAAAGACCATGTGGCAAGCGCCTTGGTTGGGTAGTTCTGTAAATTGGGGTGCCTTGTGGGGTCCCCGATATATAAAGGCATCTTGTAATGAGGACCCGATAAGGCACCTTAATGTAGATGTATACTACAACCAACCCGAGCAAAACCTTCAGAGTCGCTTCGTATCGCCCCGAGGTTTTTTCTTCCTTCCTGTCAAAAGCCCTCGGTCGTCCGGTCCTGGAAAGCTTCCTGGACCATGTCGGAGTCGTTCACGGGGAAGGTTCCTCCCGAGAGGAAGAACGAGTAGTGAGGAGCGAAAGGCCGGGGGCGGCGGGCCTCCGACTAAAGGCATGAACTCGGCGAAACCTCAGAGGGAAGGCCGAGAGCAGCCTTGGGGAGCCCTGGAAGCTGATCTTGAAGGGAGGCTTAGAGCAAAAAAAAATTGGCTCCAAAAGGCTCTCGATCCAGCAGCTCAGCCTGGCATCGATGAGCACACGGAGCTTGGTGATACTGATAAAATGCGATCATAAGACCACGGCTCGCTCTTTACCAGGAGAAGCGCATCGGCACGGGCGTCGGTGCCTCAGGGTCAGGTTCCCACGTCACGCATCGCCAGAACCTGCTCTCATCATGTCATGTGGACCCCTGTCTATGCGACAGCAGGGGGCGGAGAATTTAGGCCTTAGGCCCCCACAGGTTCGCAGCATGTGGGCCTCTCGTTTTCACTCAGTGACGACCACGGGAGACCCTTCTACTTCAGCGAGGCCTGCACTGCCGGAGACAAAAGATCCACAGAGCCGTCATAGGCTGGTGCAGACCTGTTGTCGTTTTCGTAACCTGCGCGAGCTTTATAAGAGCATGCTAATGGAAAAGACAAGGGGCTATGCTTTTTCAGAGCATAGAGCAAAGCAGAGCAGAGCAGAGAAAGCGAGCGAGCAGAGCGAAAGACAGAAAGCACAGAAAGACTGCAAAACGAGCAATAGCACACACGGACACCCTTTAACTTCCCAGGCTCTCGATCACAAAAGGGTGCCTGCAGTCGTGACACAATTTGAAGCAGCACTTCCAACTGCTATGCAAATGACCCTGCACGGGGTGGGTCTGTAAGATGCATTTGATTGCATCCGCGAACTGCCACCCATAATCGGTAAAAGGACCTAGGCTCTGCAGCAGTTCGGCATAAACCATCCACAGCTACTCAGTCATAGGGCATGAAACAAGTCGTGATCACTCCATTGGCAGAGAAGCCGTCGAGCTCGAAGGAGTTTGAGGAAGAGCTCCATATGCATTCACACGTGGATCAAAATCCTTCAATCCACACAGCTAGCACAGCTAGCACTTTGCAAGGCCGTTGTCCAAAGCCTCTTTGACGGTCAACGATGTAACCTCGATGGGCCCAAACATTTTGCGACACCCACAACGATGATATTTCTTTCCGCAAGACGGTGCTATCCAGACGTCATCACCAAGATTCGCACCCAAGTCAGATGCACGACTCTGTGATCCAGATATTGCCTTGGGCTTGCAAGCTCTGGTACTTCCAACGGTGTGGGTCATCACATGTTGGTGCTGGTCTTTGATCTCCATTGGTGGAGATCTGAATGGTTGTACTTGGCTCACTCCGGCGACTCATGTCATCATGATCGTAATGCTGTTAATCACAACCTCCGTGAAATAGTTGCCTTCATCAACCTCAGCCCCAACGACCAAGCAGGACGCCATGATCTGCATCATCTTCTTCGCCATTGCATCATGCACACGTTCATCTGATTCACCTTCTACCAAGGAGGATCTCAATGACACTGGCAACCGGATACATCATGAAAAACATTTTTGCACAAAGTTCAATGACTCTTTGTTGGGTTTATGGCTTAGTTCCCATCTGAAATGTCCAATCCCGTAGGCACTGGTCGTACCCGGAGAAGCGGTCCTTCGTTCCCCTTCGGCTTGCACGCATCTTGAATCCATAGCATTCGGCCATCAAGGTGCCGAAACCTCGTGGTCGCACCTGTCCGTTGTGTGATTGCGCAGGCACTTGATGAATCGGATCGGCAAACCCACCTCAAACGCTCTCGCTCGAAAGCTGTTCAAAGCAGCTCTTGACAAACAATGCTTCACTTGCCCATGAGCACAATGATGTCAAACCACTCTCGCATGGAGACAAACTCACGACCCCTTGCTTGTGGACAGAGGAACATACTAGGCATCCATTGAGCATCATGTAGACGCTCGTCAAAGACTTCCTGTCGTGAAGATCTGAAGCCCGATCTGAATCGTTGAAAACTTCTAGGAGATGTGAATCCTCGACTTGTTCCGATTGCGGACGCTCATCAAGGACGCTGGCACCTTTCGTGGCCCACGGCATTATCTATTTCGACGTTTATATGCTTTAAACATGCCACGCCGCGCACACTCGGACCTGCCATCTTCCGTGCTAAGAGAGCGATTGCATGTTGCGTATCCGGCCTCTCACTTGAAATGTATAGCAAACCACCGCCGATAGCAGTCCTAAACGTACAGTGGAGAATCTTTCGTCTCGAGGATCTCTTGGGTGCTGGGAACCTTGCGATGCTTCGGCCTAGTGATCCGCATAGCATCCATCCTGGAGTCTAATTCCACTGTCAATCCTGCTTCTGAAACTGTACACACTCTCTTCAAGAATCTGAACTCATCACCCATCGCATGAGTTGGCCCTGTGATACTGAGCTTGTACTTGGACTTCAAAGCGTCCACGACTGAATCTGCACAATCATCCTGACCACCTGGCACATATCATCGACATGGATTATGGTCCCAGCTTTCGCTGGCTTGAAGATCACTGGACACTGAGCCATACGACCACGTCCATGCGCCTGCAAGTCGACACGCACATGGCAGGATGCAAGAGTGGCATCTTTCTGACGAGTACCGTTAGACGATTTCCGTTGTCGCAACAATGGAGCGGCAGTCTAAACAAAGAAGTGAAGGGTGCTCCATGGAAGTATGGCATCGGAGTGCTCGGGAGAGGATTGAGAGAAAGATCGCAAGCCCGTGGTTCCAGTTGTTGTCCCAATTTCTCCTCAACCTGATACATCTGGAGAAGTTCAAGATGATCAGCTGGCAGGTGAAGTACAAGGTCCCGGTGACGAGGCAGGAAGTGAGCCTTCCTCATCGAGTTTATCATCAGATGAGAGAAATGAACATGCAGGTGCCATTCATCCTGATGGTCAATCGAGTGATAGTCCACTATGCGCAGAAAGTGGTGAAGTGCTTTGATGGAGATGAACCGTTGCCCCAAGGATGGATGGAATGGATGGATGGATGGATGGATGGATGGATGAAATGGATGCAGAAACATTCGAGACCGAGATTAGTGATTTTGGTGGGGAACATGATTCTTACGGTATTCTTACGAACACTTTTGTGATGCAAGTGATGAAAACGCGGGTTCACCAGATGTGACTAAGGAAAAGCTGATGCAGCTCGATGCAGAGTCCGAGGAGTTCGAGAAGTAACGGCAGTTGCAAGATCAAGGCAATGGTCCGGGGTCGACATTGATGCCAAATGACTTCAGACCTGAGCCCTCGGAAAGGTTGAATGTAAAGATGGTTTCGGACTGGCTTTCGTGCCAATGAGGGAGGGGTGAGAACAGATGCTGGCGGCGCCGAGCGCGGCTAGTCACCAAAGAGCTGAAGGTTTGGGATGTAAAGTCCTGCGCCAAGTCCAGAAGTACTTAGACTACTACCGCATTTATTCACCTTGAGGAAAAATGCCAAGTGGGTGATCTACAGCACCGATGTGAAAGATGCTCTCACACAGGTGGATCAACCAACTCTTTTGTACATCTTCTTTGGCAGTTGATGGTATCAAGTGTTGAAGTGTTTGCCAGCCCAGCGCCAAGCTGCCCAACTTTGGGCAGAGAAGACTTCGGATGCTCTGCAATCTCTCTCCCAGCCATACGGCTTTGATGACCTTCCTGCGACCCTTTCTATTGTTTGATTGAACCACTCAACACATCACCGCTTCACCGAACATTGCTAACTGACCCTTGTAGCGGCATCCAAACGTCTTTTCATAGGCAGCTGTCCCAGCGGTCAACTCTAGGCTCACCCCGGATCGTGCTTGCAACTGATTCAAGAAGACAACACCGATATGAATTGAATGCAATGCTTGCTCTGCCACGCCATTGGTTTGGTGCACATACATCTGGGACGGATTCTTCAAGGTCTTCAACCCGGCATTAACCCTTGCTTGCACGATGAGGTCGACCAAGCCAACCATCGATGGCTCATTGTCCTCTCTGACATGCGCTTCGCCCAATCCCAGATCGCTCATGAAACTCAGCACCGCTTTGGCCGCGTGAACCATTGAGGATTTTGCCATAGCCTGTGTTGGAATGCATCATTCCCGAAGTGCGTTCTTCTGCCAATAATAATAATAATGAAATCTTCGACTTGTACTTGTGCTCTTGTTTGATCTCCGTAATCAAGGACACTGCATCCCCAATCTTACAGGCATAGAAGTAGTCCAGGCTCACACAAGGAATTGCACTTTGTTCCTGATCACCCTGCCGAGAACGATGACTATCACGACGAGCCCTAGAACCCACGCAATACTTGCACCAGGGTTTGTAGGCACATGAGTGGCATGAACCAATCGTTCTTTGGGAGTTGGGTCCGCCGGTACGGGGCCGACATTAGCTGGTCGCGCTGGAGGCCGCGCCGCTTGCTCTAAGGCCATCTGATCTTCTGCATCCCGCCGTTGTAGCGCATTATGAAGTCTATTGAACATGGGTTTCTTTGATCCCGAGTGCCCAACTCCAAGTGCCTTGCAAACTACTAAGGACAGAAGCTGATGACTCAGGACCAATCTGGACACCTTCAACTTCCCAACTCCCGCGGCAACTCAGGCATGATTCTGGGCTGAACGGACTCCTCAACACCACTGTCAACCGAAACTTCAGCTGGGTCAGGCGTGCCCTGATCAAGCTCCATCACCGGTCCTGGGGCAGCCTCAAGCCTCAGCAGGCTCGCCATTCATCGATTCATCTCTGATGTCCTTAGGCTGTTCAAAGGCTAACCGGCCACCTCCAAAAAATGTCACGCCGAAATCAACTGGGTCCTCACAAGTTCGATGCATGAAGGTGAGCGTCATTGCCGCAAACAACACTCCAAGCAAAGGTGCTTCAAGCTCCTGCGCTTCAGACAAATCTTCATGAAGCTCCCACTCGCTTCCCACTCGCGCCAATGTAGTTCTGTTCTTTTACAGGGATGTAGACAACACTGCACTCGGATCATGGAATGTTTTGTTCTTACACATAATCACTGGCGCGCCCGACTTTCCCACAAAGTTCCAGCCTTGGGTAAGCTGAAGTCAAGCGAGGCTTGGATCGCATGCACATTCAGTCACATTCACCTGTTCATTATCTTTTGGCTGTCGCGCGTAAGGTGCATGAGAAATGACTTTATCACCAATGAATCTCGCCTGTAGAACAGTGGAATCGCACAATCTTCCTTGCGCGAGCACCATCGTCATTCTCTCCATGGTTTTGCAATGACCAATCATCCTTCGACAACCCTACGAAAAGAAGACGTGCATCCCCGGCAGCGGTCAAGAATCGTTCCTGAATGCATACACTGCCTGCATCAACTAGCATGTGCTGTGCTCCTTTCAATGGCATATGTGCGCGCGTCCCATAGCTTCACCCTTGGAGGCACTTCATAATTCTCGCTGAGCCACATCGGCGCCGGAATCCAGTGTGAGTTCTATCTCTTGATTCACCCCTAACAAACTCATTGACATTGCCCCTGACACAACTGGACACAGATTTCCACTGAACATGTAATCGATGACTTCCGACTGGCACCAACCACTGATCGCATCTGGATCGCGTACTCCATTGGACACGTAATCGACGGCATCCGACTCGTACCAACGCAAAACTGCATCTGGATTGTGCTTTGCTCCTACTGGATCATCCATCTCCAAATTGAAGTGCCCAAGACACCCTTCATCAAAGTAGGCATCATAGGAATCGGCATTCTTATCATCCTCGAAAGATGACTGCGCGACCATAGGAAGCTTGAAGTTCACCTCGGAATCATCATCATCCACCTTCACACAGAGTACGCACTGCACCGTTAGACCAGACGTAAACTGCGCCGACGGCTGCGACGTGGATTGCGAGGCGGACAGATTCCCTCCCGAAGGTTTCCCCTCCGTCTGCTCAACAGCTCTCACTTGCGAACCTTTTGCCATCCAGCAATTCTGAGTGGAATGACCATATTTGCTTCAAACTTTGCATGGATCATAGCCCTTGCCCTTCCCTAGTCCCTTGTTGTTCTTACCCTTGGAGTCGTAACGGAGTCAAACTTTCCTCCCCTTCCTTTGCCCTGGATCTTTTGACTTCTCATTGTCCTTTCCACCGCCTTTGCCGGCATCACAGCCTTTCTTGCCTCCGTTACCATCCATGAGAACGGCTTCATCACTAGCAGACGGAGGCATAGGCGACGAGGACGGGGGAACGACAATCGACTGTGACCATTTCTGGGTTGAGCGATCCCAACGCAACAAGGCCTCTCTCAAAGTCTCAAGCGTCACATCTTCAGGAAGCTTCATTGAAATTTGGGTTTTGGTTTGCTATGGTGCTGCGCGATGAACGACTGCAACTTCAAGATCATCCGAGACATCCTTGCCAGACGACTGCCTGTATCTGCGAATCAGCAGCATCAAAGTGCAACACATTCTCATGAATATGATCTGCCTTGAACTGGGGGAACTGCGTTATCGCGCCTAGGAGAGCTAACGACCTTGCTTTTGAGGTAGGAGCCAGGGTTCGATGTAGGAGACGCCAAGCTTCGTACCCACTGGAATTTCCGACACCTTTGACATTGCTTAAGGGTCTCTCCCTCATAAGGCTCGCCAGAAATGTACACAATTGCCTTGCACGAGGTCTTGCTGGTTCTGAAAGCTTGTCATACTCAGCAACCTTGTTCAAGTCACTCTCGATTGTATCCATCTCTCGAAGCATCTCTGGATATACCACTCCTATACACGGTCGAGAAGACCATGCCCAGTCCATGAACATGGAAAGTTCTGCATCACGCTTTGAGGGTCTGAACACGTCTGGCTTGGGGAGAACTCGCGACAATGTATCCTGAGACGACCGTTGTTGCAATTGCTCTGGACTCGCTATCTGATTTCAGAAAGTTCCAGCTGCCACCACAACGAAGCTATGGCTCACAGCTACTTTCTACCTACGCGGCTCTGGGTCCTGGCCGCACCGCGTTTGCAAAAGCATCTGGGTCCTGTCCTCGGTAGCCTGGAGGCTCTCACCGAAATCGGAGTTCCGAAGTCAGATCACCGAAGCTCTGCTGCCATGCAAAACGAGCGGTAGCGCACACGGACACCTTTGAACTTCTCAGGCTCTCGATCACAAAAGGATGCCTGCACAATTCAAGCAGCACTTCCAACTGCCATGCAAATGACCCTGCGAGGGGAGCGAAATATTTAGTAGAGACAGAGAGAGCAGAGAGCAAACTATTTACGGCACCAGCTTCAAGCATGTAGTGGGCCAGCTTCTGCTGTGGCAACCGAGATGCCCAGCAAGCCGAAGACAATGGCGATCTCAATGGCGTTCGTCAGAGGAACCTGTCCGAAGCGACGGCGGCTGAGCAGATGCTCGGATGCGCAACTTAGGCGCTCGGAGGCCTCTCGCTGGGCACAGTCCTCGCCCAAACTCCCTGCAAAGCAGGAGCACAAGCCCGTGGCAGTGTCGCACTCACCTGGGAACAGGATACTTTTTCACTTACCTCGAGGCAGACGTGCCGGGCCATGTGCGATCGAATCACCGGAGTTGGTGCAGTTTCCGGGGCAGCGCTTCTCTTCACAGCGTGGCCCATAGTAGGGTTCGATGCAATCGCATTCCCAGACAGCCTCAAGGTCCTCTTGAAGCAAAGACCCCGCACTTGCGGGCTATGTCATACTTGGGACCATTCCCCGTCCTGCGCGCCCTCCAGGCAGCTCGCGTTGTTCGCGCAGGTTGGGCACTCGCGAACCGTGCAATCCTCGCCCGAAAAGGTCTCTCGACATTCCTGGGTGTCTGATCATGCTCGTGAGCGAGTTTCACGGGACCCAAATTGCGAGCCAAACCCTGATAAGACCCGGAAAGCATAAAGAAACCCCATCCAAGCGCCAAGAGACGCAAGCCCAGTCACCCGTCTTCTGCTGGATGCAACTGCCAGAACCGGAGCACACAGGATTTCCGGGGCATAAGATGGTTGTCGTTGTGGTGGTGCTGGTCGCTGTGGAGCTAGTTCCTGACGCCAGGTCACAATACACAGCACTGAGCGCTGAAACAAAAAGGGCGCGTTGCAAGGCCGAGCGGCGCGTTGTGGGAGGGGCCCCGGAGAACACGGAGGCGTCTTCGACGGTCAAGTTTGAGCCAACAAAGCCTGAGAAAAAGGCTCTCTAAAGACTTGCCAGCAGCACGAGCATAGATATGTGCGTGTCTGCGCATACGTTATAGATATATATGCAAGTCTATGCATACGTAGACGTATGTGTGTGTGTGTGGGGGGGGGGGCTTTGCGTACGTTCACATTTCCATGCATCCAGAAATTGCTGTCATGTGTTGTGGGCGGGTGGAGATTTTGCGCTTTCTGTCCATCGACAAACCCCAACATGTGCTCACCAGCATTTCCATCCAACATACACTCACCTCAAAAATCCCTTTTGCCAACTACTCGTTACTATACGTCCTACAGTATCTTCTTCCTGTCTTCGTAGAGATCGCCGGCCCCGGCCCTTCTCTGCCCTTCTCGGCCCTGCCGCCTTGGTCCCGGAGCGCCGCGTTGAGCGCCGCCTGCAGGGACGCAGCGGTGGCGGCCTGGAGCGCCGCAAAGGCGCGTGGGAAGAGCTCCAGACCCCTGCAAGAAGCTTTCGGGGAGGCTTGGAGCTTTCGGGGGAGAATGTGCGAACGATTTTGGGGGAGGTGTTAAGGGCAGCCCTGTGCTGGTTCGGCCCTGGTTACGCCGCCCCTGGCCGCATCATGCTGCCATTTAAGCTGCACCACAAGAAAGCGCCTTCGTCATGTAGGGCCACCAAAGTGAGAAAAGCATCCGTGCCCGAACCCAGATAATGTCGGTATGGTCTTATGCAGTCGATGAGTAGCGCCGTCGAGCCGCGATAACAGTTCCGATAAGTAGCGCATCCATGCCCGAACCATGATAACGGATGCATGCCCAGCACCCCTCGCAGAAGGTAGTGGACTGGGATGCCTTATTCGTTAAAGTAGTGTTCTAGCATAAAAGCCTTTCTAAGCCGACGAAACCTCGAATTGCACGGTGTTTGCAATGCTCTAGGACTTCTACACGTACTATGTCTCATGGATGCCCGGCAAACGCACGGACTGAGGTTCAGGAATCCTTGGTCCTAGGGCTTTGGCTGCTGATTGGTGAACCCTCTGCCAAGGGGCAGGAGGCTTTCAAAAGCAAGGATCGGGCTATCCTGCCTCAAGGGCAATTTCTCGTCTTGTGGTTGCTCATGGTATCTGAACCGTCCTTTCTGACCATCACCTGCTTCCTTCTCAACCCGGAACGCTCAACTTGACGACCCAACCCTGACCCCTGATCCTTAAGGTAGGGGCCTAAATACTTAGAAGAGGGCTTGAGTTTGAGGCTCCTTTATACCGCAACAGTACTAATCATAAGGAACCGCCAAAACCCGTCCCAACCCTCCCCAACCCCCTTGCTCCAGTGGGCCTTTCGGAGGGGATATGGATCCCATACTCCAACCTGGTGCAAGGTTCTCGTGCTTTCGAGCACCCTTAGAAAATTTCGGTGGACGGCGTCTTCTTTTCCAGAGCTCCCTGGGCGCCTGGGCGAGGCTGCCTGCAACCTTCGAGCCTGGCACAGGGAGCGAAAAGCGGGAGAGTTCAGGGCCTGGGAGGCTTTGGAGGTCTGGGGCCCGAACGTCCCTTTCCTGGTCGGGGCAGAGCCGAAGCTCCACCAAGGAGGCCTCCACCTCCAAGAGTCACAACAACGAAGCAAGGGGGGGGGCAGGGCCAGGGCAAGCGCGGCGCGCGGTCTTCCCGCGGCCTCGGCGAGGGAGGCGATGCCTTGGGCCAGCGCCTCCAGGAGCTCCGGCTCCCGCGCTTCGCTCCCCGCGGCGATGCACTCGGCAAGCTGCGCCTGCGCGAGGGCGCGGGCATGCGACTTCTCATTCTCACGATCTTGGTATCCGGCCTCGCCGAAGATGTACCCGAACCCATCTGCAAAGGTGATGGTGTTAGTGGCAGTGGTGAAGGTCTCGGTGGTGGTGCTGGTTCGCGTCCACGTGCTTGTTACGCTGGTGTAGGTGCTCGATGTGTGAGAAACGGTGCTGGAGGTTCTGGAGATGCTGGAAGACGTGGAGGTCGTGCGAGTCGAGGTACCACTTTTGCTTGTCCTGGCATGCGAAACAGCGCGGTTGGCACAAAAGACTGGAACATTGCCACGACACAGCTGAACCTTCCGACGACCTGCCTATCATTGTTCGTAGAATCGAATGCACCGACTTCTTGAACAGTTATGGTTCTGGGCTTTGAGAATATCCAAACCGGCCGCGAAAAAGTGTCGTGTCTTGCAGCCTTGCCTGCCCTCATAAGTGGATGCGGGCGTTTAAACAAAAAGTAGGCCAGAGATGCGAAGACGTGGTGGAAGTCACGGTTGCCGAAGTGGCCTCAGAGGGCTGAGACAACATGAACTGAAAATACATTACAATTACAAGCGCTTGCTTCAATTTCAGCCTCTGGCGGTCCCGGTCCTCGCAGCGTCAGGGTCCAAAACGACTCTTCTAGACACGAGACTCACTAGATTCTAGACTACTCCAGGCTTATCAGAACAGTCCTGGAGGAAGTTCTGGTGGAAGACGCGGTGCTGGTTGTGGTGCTGGTTGTGGAGGTTTTGGACAGGCTTGTGGTGCGCGTAGTGGAGGATGCCGTCGTGGAGGAGGCAGTCTTGGAGGAGGAGAGCGTGGTCGACGTGGACTTCGAGGTGGACTTGGCGAAGGGGTCGGGAAAAAGACGACTCGCTGACTCGCTCTGAGGCCTCGGCCGCCCAGTCTGAGGTCCCGGCGGTCAGCGTGGAGGATGTCTCTGTGACGCTGGAGGACGAGGAGGTGGCGGTCGAGGTGGCGGTGAAGCTTGAAGACAAGGTCGTAGAGGATATCGTGGAAGACAGGCTGCTGGTCAAAGAAGCCGTTTGGGTGGCCGAAGTCACGGTTTCTGTCGAGCTTGAAGAGACAGTAGTTGCAGAGGAGCTCGAAGTGGTTGTGGTGACAGCCTCAGAGATCGCCCATGCGGACCGCTTCGGCACTTCCGTGTACTGCAATGCTGCTTGATTGACTCCTCTTGAGGCAAAGACGGTGACCGACTGCGTCGCAGTCCTGGCACGGCCAACAACAACGGATTCTTGGTAACTGTGTTCATACGAAGTGTTGCCGGGCAGACGTCGAAACGACAGGCTCGGTAGCTGTAGCAGTCCAACTGGATGTAAGTGTTCTTGTTGTGTGTGTTGCGGTGCTTCGCGTTGAGGTCGCTGTCCAAGTCATGGTCGTGCTTGCCGTGACGGAAGTGGTGCTGACTGTGCTCTGGGTGGTCGTGACTGTCGTGGCTGAACTCGCGGTCGTAGTTGAGATGCTGCTGATGCTGCTAGTCGAAGTGACGCTGGTGGCCGTGCTTTGGGTTTTCGTAATGCTGCTGCTGGTGCTTGAAGTTGCAGTGACGGTCAGTGAACTTGTAGCGCTCACTGTGACTGAAGTGGTCGTTGCAGTGCTTGTCGTTGCAGTTGCTGTCCCTGTGGAGGAGGTGAAAGTCCAGGTGCTGCTCGTCGCCTCGTGGACCGGAGACCGGACTGGAGGACTAGTAGCGACTCAGAGAGACCCTGAGGCACGGGCGGTGGTGGTTGGATCCTGGAAGTCCCGACTCCCACCCACACACACACACACACACGACAAAGTCGATGGTGCTTCTTCGTGGCCGGCTGCAGCCTACTGGGCCACCGGGCAGGATTCACTTGGATGGCCTCCAGGCTCAGGACTTCCAGCACCACGGGAAAGCCGTCAGCATCCAGGAAAGCCTCTGAAACCCCAAAGTGGAGACGGTCGCAATTCCCGATTCCCAGCTTGCCTGAAGCTTTTGGGTCATAGTCTCCGGAGACTCCAGGTCCAGGCGCCTTACGACATCCGCGGTGGCGATGCCCCCGCCCACCACCACCTCGGGATTCGCACCCACTGGCCCACCCCTCATTGGCTGGGCAAAGGCCGGGACCATCGAATAAAGAAGCTCCACCGGGCTCACCTGCAGTTGCCTGCAGCAAAGAGCGAGCAGCACAGCCCATCCGGGGTCCGGCTCTGCGCCTCGAGCTCGATGAGAGCCGGCGCCCATCACACCACACAGAGACGCTCACCGCCGCCTCCTCCACCTCAAAAAGCCCGCCGGGCGCTAGAAGCGCGCGCGACAAAAGCTGCATGATCCGACTGGGCTATCATCTGCCTGGGCGATTTGGGCAAGGCCAAACTCCAATCGACTTTTGCCTCAGGGCAGCCAAAAAAAAACTAGAAGACAATTGGCCCGAAAGCATCATTAGCGAAGAGTTTAGCGCTACGTTATAGAATCCAGTGCATAGAATTCTAGAGTCATAGCGCGAAGTGCATCTTATTATGAAGTATATGGCAATGCCGAAATCGATATTTTTGAATCTATGAACTTGACTCTACGTGTTTCACTCTGCGTTCTTCAGTCGATGTTGTCAAAGTTGTCGAAGCAGTGTATAAACTTAAGTATATGAAGTCAACTGCATACGGCGAAGTGCATAGAGTCAAATGCATAAGTCAGGTGAATAAGTATCTAGAGTCATGGTGTCAAGTTGTTTCAGTGCAGCCAGGTCCGGTGGTCGGTGATCGCATTATAGTGCTGCGGTATCCTTGGTTGGAGCTGATCCAGCAGGGAAGACGGTAGAGATTCGATCGAGGCAGGTAAAGAACAGTCCTCAGTATGGTAAGATGATGCAACATGTTCATCCCTTCGAGCAAAGCATGCGGGTCATACATGTGCAATGAGAAAGCCTCTGCAATCGACGTAGAGATTCCGAGCCTGAATAAGTCATCGAGCAGGCACCGGCGACGCCTCATTGCAATACAAACTGACTCACGCAAGCAGTGACCAACGGCGGCGATTCCCCATGAAGCGTCCTGCTCGGCAATGCGCCGCGATAGACTTACAGCTTCCAACAACTCCGCTTTGGAAAATTTGCGCCCGGCTGACTTCTGCTGCGCATCCGCCAGCGACAGCGAGCCCACGCAAATGATCGCGAGTCCGCTTCCCGAGCTCGTCGTGGAGCCAGGCTTCGCCGTGCTCGGCACAGCCCTCTCGCAGCTCCTGCAGCTTTTGCTCCGACGCAGCAACAGCATCGACCTGACAGCAAAGACTTCACGTGAAGGCACGAAACATCTAACCTGGCCACGATACTGACGCTTCACTATATTACAAATTGACACAGACAATGATCAACGACATCGATTCCGCATGAAGCCTCCTCCTCGACAATGCACTGTGATAGAGCTTATACCAATTCCAGCTTGGATAGAGTGCGCCAGGACGGACCCTCTCGCCGGCCATTCAGCTGCCATGGCAGCAACACCATGTGTCCACCCCGGCCCTTTCGCAAGACAGCGTCTAGTCAGGCAAAGAACCGTCTTAAGTATGGTGAGATGCTGCAACGTGTTTTCCCTTCCGAGCAGAGCGAGGCAGGTAAAAAACGGTCCTCAGTATGGTAAGATGCTGCAAGATATTTCTCCTTTCGAGCAAAGCATGCGGGTCATACATGTGCAATGAGAAAGCCTCTATAACCGACGTAGAGATTCCGCGCCTGAATTAGTCATCGAGCAGGCACCGGCGACGCCTCATTGCAATGCAAACTGACTCACGCAGGCAGTGATCAACGACAGCGATTCCCCTTGAAGCGTCCTGCTCGGCAATGCGCCGCGATATTCTGCTGCGCATCCGCAGCGACGGCGAGCCCACGCAACTGATCGCGAGTCCGCTTCCCGAGCTCGTCGCGGAGCCAGGCTTCGGCGTGCTCGGCACAGCCCTCTCGCAGCTCCTGCAACTTTTGCTCCGACGCAGCAACAGCATCGACCTGACAGCAAAAACTTCACGTGAAAGCACGAAACATCTAACCTGGCCACGACACTGACGCCTCACTGCAAGACAAACTGACGCAGACAATGATCACCGACATCGTTTCCCCATGAAGCCTCCTCCTCGACAATGCACCATGATAGAGCTTATACCAATTCCAGCTTGGACAGAGTGCGCCAGGACGAGCGCTGCGGCACGACCACACAACTAATCGCGAGTCCGCTTCCCGAGCTCGTCGCGGAGCCAGGCTTCGCCGTGCTCGGCACAGCCCTCTCGCAGCTCCTGCAGCTTTTGCTCCGACGCAGCAACAGCATCGACCTGACAGCAAAGACTTCACGTGAAAGCACGAAACATCTAACCTGGCCACGATACTGACGCTTCACTATATTACAAATTGACACAGACAATGATCAACGACATCGATTCCCCATGAAGCCGCCTCCTCGACAATGCATTATGACAGAGCTTATACCAATTCCAGCTTGGACAGAGTGCGCTAGGACGAGCGCTGCGGCACGCCTGCAGCGGCAGCAAGCCCACACAACTGCCTGGTAGTTAGTTCCCGAAGCTCCGCACGGAGCCAAATTTCACCGTGCTCGCCAAGCCCTCTCGCAGACCATGCAGCTGCTGTGGCGGCAACGCCATGGTACTATGTACTCCTACTACTGCTACTACTACTATTATTTTTATTACTATTATTATTACTACTATTACTACTATTACTACTATTACTACTATTACTACTATTACTACTATTACTACTATTACTACTATTACTACTATTACTACTATTACTACTATTACTACTATTACTACTATTACCACTATTGCTCCTAACTCCTATTACTACTAATACTACTCTTACTACTATTACTACTATTACTACTATTACTACTATTACTACTATTACTACTATTACTACAATTACTACTATTACTACTATTACTACTATTACTACTATTACTACTATTACTACTATTACTACTACACCTTCATGCGCAGCAAAAGTGTTGACTTTACCTCGAGTTCGAACACTCGACAACGCCAATCTCTGTGAAGGGTTGCAAATTTCACTTCAATGCACATCAAAAGTAATAACTTTACCTCGCGTTCGTGCATTCGACCACGCCAATCCCGGTGAAGGGTTGCAAAATTCATCTCAATGCACATCAAAAGTAGCAACTTTACCTAGCGTTCGTGCATTCGACCATGCCAATCCCTGTGAAGGGTTGCAAAGTGCCAATCCCTGTGAAGGGTTGCAAAATGCACTTCAATGCACCTAAAAGCGCTTCAAAGTAGCAACTTTACCTCGCGTTCGTGCATTCGATCATGCCAATCCCTGTGAACGGTTGCAAGTTCGCGCACTCGACCACGCCAATCCCTATGAAGGGTTGCAAATTGCGCCTCGAAGCGCATCAAAAGTAGTAACTTTACCTCGCGTTTGGGCGCTCGACGAGGCCAATCCCTGTGAAGGGTTGCGCCGCGCGCCTGTTAATTTAAAAAAATATGGCATTTTATCTAGCGTTTGGGCGCTCGACCATGCCAATCCTTGGGAAGGGTTGCGCGGGAACCCTAAAATGTGTAACTTACCTAGCGTTTGGGCGCTCGAGGTGGCCAATCCCTGTGAAAGGTTGCGCGGGCGCCTAAAATGTGTAACTTTACCTAGCGTTTTTGGGCGCTCGAGGTGGCCAATCCCTGTGAACTGTTGCGCCGCGCGCCTATTAAGTTAAAAAATGCGTAACTTTACCTAGCGTTTGGGCGCTCGCCCAGGCCAATCCCTGGGAAGGGTTGCGCGGGACGCCTAAAATGTGTAACTTTACCTAGCGTTTGGGCGCTCGCCCATGCCAATCCCTGGGAAGGGTTGCGCGGGACGCCTAATATGTGTAACTTTATCTAGCGTTTGGGCGCTCGAGGTGGCCAATCCCTGGGAAGGGTTGCGCGGGAACCCTAAAATGTGTAACTTTACCTAGCGTTTGGGCGCTCGAGGTGGCCAATCCTTGTGAAGGGTTGCATTCCCGATGGATGACGACGGTGCCACCCCTGGCTTTAGAAGAGAGATTAGATACCGAGATGTAGAGAGTAAGTCATGTAGAGAGGTAGAGAGTATGTAGAGAGGTAGAGAGTAAGTCAGAGAGTAAGTCGGAGAGTAAGTCGGAGAGTAAGTCAGAGAGTAAGTCAGAGAGTAAGTCACAGAGTAAGTCACGGAGTAAGTCAAGAGTAAGAGAGGTAGAGAGTAAGTCACAGAGTAAGTCACAGAGTCATAGAGTAGTCAAGTGAGTAAGTCACAGAGTTCTCAAGTTCATAGAGTCATAGAGTCATAGAGTTGTCAAGAGTTGTCAAGTTCGGTCTTAGAGTCATAGAGTCATAGGGTCATAGAGTCGTAGACTCAAGTGTCAAGTCATAAGGTCATGTGCTCGATTCTATGTTTGTAATCTATGTACTTGTCTACCCGGCTCCGCACGGAAGAACCCTTCGCGACGCTTTCGGGAACTCTGCGAATATGCGCACAACAAGCCTCAGCATGCTCGTGGTTCTATAAACCTACTTCCTGATCATCCTTGCCGTCCCGCCCCTACCGGCCCTATCATCCCGTCATCTGTCATCGTCAAGATCCGCGCCTTCCTGGGATCGGAGTGCTGGACAGTTCAGCGCCGTGAGGGTCATCAGTCCGACCACGTGATCTGTGTCCTGCGCGGGGCGAAAGGGCAGCCTCGGGCCCCACTGGGCTCTACTGGGCCCTACTGTGCCCGCCCGGCCTGTGTCTGGGTGCTGGTGTACGTCGTGGTGGTGCTCGAAACGCCCGGGGCGAGTGTGGAAGTGATGCGGGTCGTCGTTGCCGTTGTGGAGGTTTCGGTCGGACACGGCCCGTCACAGGACCTCGCTGAGACTTCACAGGATGGGCGCGAGCACGGTATCAAAGAAGCCGGCCTGAAAGCTTCGAGGAAGTATGTTGTGGTCTGGCGGCTGAAGCTGGAGATGACCTGCAGCTCATGTCACCATCATCCGAGTCGCCTTGGATTCTCGAGAGCCCGGCTTCGATCTCAATGGACCCGGGTGCCGAGATCCCCTATAGCCGAACGCACGCACATGGTCGTCTTTTTGACGCATGTGACGAGGACTTCGCTTTGACTGAGTGGCCGGGCGAGCGAGGTGCCCCGGAGCGGCCGACCGGAGACCAGGACGGAATCCGAACCGAGGGCTTCGAGATCTACTCGCAGCCAGTCACTCCGGCTGAACACCTCACGCCAACGCGAAGATGACTGCGAAAGTGCTTGAGGCACTGCCCCGAGAGTCACGCCTGATACCTGATTTCGAGGTTGCGAGAGACGAAGTTCTCGAAAGGCTCTGCGCCTCGCCGAAAGAGCAAGCAGCGCAGCAGAGAGAGCGGCAGAGAGCAGCAGAGAGCCGCGGGCCGAAGCCGCGGGAGACGTCGAAGGCTGGCTGCAAGGCGATCTCCTCGCCCTCCGCGAAGGCCCGGAGAGCTCCCAGAGCTGGAGGCGAGGCCTTTAAAGACGCGACGACGCGACGACGACAGAAGCCGAGCCCCCCCCCCCCCCAAAAGCGAAAGCGTCAAAGCGCGTCGCCGCTGGAGCCGAGGAGCGACGGCGGCGGCGATGCGAAAACTCCGCGGCGGCGGCGGAGGCGACGTTCCCGAAGTCGAAGCGAGCACTCGGAGCTCCATCTGCTCGCTCCAACCACTGGGCTTCCTCGGACAAGCCCCCCCAAAAAACAAACCCGCAAGGCTGAGTCTCTCTCTCTCTGGAACGTGCGAAGGAAGGCTCCCTGCCAAGTCGAAGGCGGCCTGGAAGGAGCTCCTCCCCGCGAAGCTGTCGTCGGTCCTCGTCGGGCCGTTTTCAGAGCCGGGCCCGCCGGGCCCGCCGGGCCCGGGCCCGGCAACACAGAACAGCCTGGGGGGGGGCCCCTTTGCCCCCAGAAGGGTCCTGGAAAAGCTGCGCTTCTGCAGCACTCCGTTCCTGGGATCCAAGGAGAACCAGGCCGGTACCTCGCAGGTTTCGCGCGCACGTTTCGCGACCGAATGTCGCAGAGAGCAGAGCTCCGCGCTCCGAGCTCCGCACCTCCGCCTCCAGCTGCCAGTTGACGTCCTCGTCGCCTTGGTTCCTTGCACGACACGACAGAAGTCAAGGAGAACACGCTGGGGCTGAGGCTCCTCAGGGCTTTGGCCCGGGGCACAGTAGGGATTCAACAAGGCCGGGTTGGGCCAGGTGACCGCAAGAAGAAGTCGCCACGGCCGGCGGGAAGGTCATCGGGCGCCGCGAGCAGCTCTGGGGTGGACAGGACGTGGGCGTAGAGATACTGGTCCGGGTCCTTCACAGGGCCACTGCAAGGCGGAAAAGCCGAGAAAGAAGACGACTGCCTGAGCGATGGAGAGGTACACCAGGTCCAGAGTTCCAGAGGATCTGGTCACGGAGCAAGCTTGGCCCACAAAGCCATCATCGCCTCGGGCTCGGGCTCGGGTTCTCTCCCTTTTGTGCTCGGCTCCGCTCTCCTAAAAGGGCCCGAGGTGCAGGAGCACGTGCTGCTGGAGGCATCACATGTGCCTGGAAGTAGGGCTCTCAAAAGAGAACCTCCTCTTTTTCTAGCCTCCCTTCTGCACCGCCTTGGCCACTGCACCAGGAGCTGTTCCCATCACCCACTGTGCGCCCGGGGCAGCTTCTGACGTCAATGGCACGATCCTGGGAAGAACGTCGCACCCAATGAGAAGCAGCTATATTCTGCTTGCCTTCTCTCGCAGATCCCGTAGGCAATCTTTGTCTTTTGTCCTCTTGTAATGATGATTCATGACGATGACGATGATGGCAGGCACGGGGGGAAAGGCAGGGAGGCAGGGAGGGCAAGTGGACAGGTTGGGGAGGAATGTAAGGTACGAGCAGATTCGCCGGACTCTCTAGCCGACCGAAAGTGGAAGTGCCGGGCAATGACAGGTCAAGTCAGCTGCATTGGCTCACGTCACGTCTGCCTAGCAGCTTTCGTCCGTGTGTGATATCATAACCTCTCAAAATGCACCTCACCGGATACTTTTCTACTAATGGCAGCTTGCTTCGAGGGGCCAGCTGCACACGGATGTAGGGAGAAACGCTGGTTGCGCCAAGTCACGGGAGGTGCTGCTCGGATTGCCTCCGATCCGAGACTACAATAAACACTGCAAGGGCCACGTGCCACCTTCGCATGCCCGAATGCCCGTTCGCCTCCTTGAAGTCCTCGTCGCTGGTTGCCGGGAACACCTCCTCTGCCCAAGACAGCGTATGATTTCGAGTTCTTGCAGGCTTGGCTTACGATTAGAGTGATTCAGATCGGCCGAACAAGAGCGCAGCGCCGCAGCGAATTAAGGGGTCAGCTTCGTTCCAGGGCCAGAGTCAGGTTCCGAGCACTCGTTTCTCCCGCAACTGGTGAGTCAGAACCACAGAAGACGCGGAAATCAGGAAAGGATCACAAACCTTGAGACGAGCCATTGAGCAACAACGAGGACGACAGGCACGACGAAGCCGAGACACACGCGACAAAAAGCCAGCAACAGGACCGCGATCCACGACGACGACGACGATGACTGCCAACAATCGTCAAATGAGCGGGGGGTTCAAGACGTAGGATAAACCCACGGCCTCATCGGGGGCCAGGTTTCAGAGTTGAGACAGAAAGCAGAACAGCAGTGATCTGAGGAAAAGGTCAGGCTTGAAAATGAGATCGATCGCCATGGCCTCATGAAGGGGCTGGCATTGCCTAATGAGAAAGCGGGTTGAAGGTTCGACGTGTGTGATCCGCCGCTTTCGCCAAACGAAGGGCGGCCGGTTCAAGATAACTGCCATGGCTTACTAAGGGACTGGGATTAAGGTCGTGATAAGCCTCCATCATCTGGACATGGTGTGATAACATGTCATCGTCTGATGTCAAGGCGGGCTAACCCAAACCGATCAATCGCAATTGACTGATGAGGGTGCGAGTTTGGACAATGTCATAAACCGTCACCGGATAGACGAAATGTGATAAATCGCCATCGCTTACACGCGATCTGGAGCGCTCCACATCGTTGAAGGTGGTGGGTTTTGGGGCTTTGCGTGCGGAATCTGGCTTTTGGGGAGTGTTTCCTGCACACCGGCCCGAAAATGACTGCGGCAAGGAACCGGGCTTGCTCTGCAACTGGCCTCGTCATGTTCCTAAAGTCCGCCCTGAAACTCAGCACCGAAACTAACCACAAAAAAATCACGCCTTCCCACTGGTGGACCGCGGCTACAAAACAACTTCACGCTCTCCTTCCGCAGCTCCTCGAGCCTTCCCAGATTCAGATCCTCCTGAGCAGATTGCGACTCTCCCTCGCTCAACTCCGATCTTTGCACGGAGCCTCGAAAATTTTGATTTGGCCCTCCGACACGTGGAAGGCAACAGTCGCAAGGTAGCCGAAGACTCCAGCAGCGGCTATCGAGAACAGGATCAAGAGGCAACGAGAGTGATAGAGACCTCGGTACAGGACTGGAACATGCTGCCCCCTAACTTCCCCCAAGGCAGTCGGACACGGAGAGAAGCGCTTCGCCACGACCCGCTCGACCAGTCCCAGGTCCTCTCTCCAGGGCTTGGCAGAGTTCCCAGGGCACTGGCTGCCCTGGCACTGGCACTCTGGCTCCTGATGCTTCACGTCCGTCACCCCCTTAACAGCGACGCTTGAAAAAGGCCCTCCCCGCCGCATGGTTTAGGGTTCCGGCCTTGACCGGCAATCTCAACTTGGACTGGATGCCCTACAAAGGCATGAGGAAAATGGTGCAGTACATCCGTGGGTTGCAAGAGCACGTGTGTACGTCTGCTTACGTGTGCGGACGCGCGTAGGCAGCCACAGCACTGCAGATGCTCAAAGCATGCCTTAAAGCGTCCCTGCTACTCAGAGCCCACCTGGGCGCTCAGGTGATCGGAATGCCGACCTCAGCTTCAGAAGAAGGATCCACGGACGGCCGTTCCCTGGCGGCGATGCCTTCGGGAGATCGCTTGCGGCAGCAGCAGGTCAGAAGCGGAATGATGTAGAGGTCGTTTACCAAGATCGCTGCCGGAAAGATGATCAGCACCTGCAGCTCTTTCACAGCTCGGGAAGGGACGGGAAGGGCCTCACCACCTAGGGAGGAGGCATTCAAGAAATTCCATGCCACGAGCGTTGCCATGAAGAAGCCGAAACTCCTCCACAAGACGCACTGGCTGCACGCCTTTTCTGGCAGCCAACGTGAGAAGAAATTCTCAGTGGAGATCTCATAAATCCCATGCAGTTTCGCGACGACGGTCAGCGGTCACTCTGCCGTCTACGTGTGAGCGAGTGAGCTACCATGTTTCGTGTGAGCAGTGGTCCAACACTCCATGGCCATCCTCTGCAAGGCTTTCGGTTCGGTATGTTGCATCCGCTCGAACAGGTGTCAATGTACGCGAGGTCAGGAGGTCTGTGCTGTCGGCAAGATACTCACCTACCCGTAACTTCACGATAAGGACCTCCTTGGGCGTGTTCGCTTACCCTTGATGGTAGCAGCCACATCTTGGGAACGCCGGAGAATTGGTGCTGATTCCCGAAGCAGCACGAAACCAGATGAACCGCCACTTTAACTCTCGATATGTCAGAAGCTCCTCACCACAGTCACGATGGAGAAGCAGTTGGCATAAAAGGAACCGCATGTTGTTACTGTCCTGAGATGCCGCCAGACTCCTCAGCTTCACCTGGATGCAAAGACTGAGGGCGCGGCGTGACCAGCATGGGTGCGGTCCCCTCTTTGTACGCCCATCGCATTTTCTGCTGTGGAGTGGCCTGCCGTTCCGGAAGCAAATTAGGAATTAGCATTCTCCACCAGACAGAGTGCAGGCATTGCACATCTTTGCGCCTCTGCACCCAGCAGCACAGCCGCAAGAGAGTAAGTGTTGAAAAGCAGAAGCACGTCATCTGCCGCAATGCCTCTGCCGAAAGTCAGCTGACTTTCACAAACCCTTGCGAAGGGCAGACATGAACCGCGCCTAGGATCACGAAAAGAGAGACGAAGTCCAGGATGCTCAGGGCCTTGAAACCTCGGAGCTTCCACGGACGCCGGGGCTTTGGGCCTAAGGGCGGAGCACCCTCTTAAGTGACAGGAGGCCGGCGACGACAAAGTGAAAGTAGTAGGTCCCCACAAAAGCCAAGGCCACCCCTCAGCGTCAGAGTCAGCAGTCAACCGCCAAAGTGATTGCAAGAGTCGGCAACAGCCTGCAAGTTAGGATCGGGCCGATGGCGCCGAAGAAGGTGATGAAGAGGTTTTGGATCCGCGCCAACACCAGCAAGGCGACTGTTGCCATCGTGCCCAGCGCAAAGAGCGTATCGAAGCGCAAATAGTACAAAATCCTGAGAGCTCTCTGATAAACGGAGGCATCACACTCTTTAGTCCAGCAGCAGGCAAAACTCCATGACATGCCCGCCCCGCTTGCTCTTGGCGACGAGGGACTCGTAGTTGTTGATCCTGGCATGTCACATGCATTCTGAAGGCCAATCCACACCCTCCCAGTTTTGCTTGAGCACAGGTATGGAAGGAGCCTCCTTTCATACCACGTAAACTTCACGTGCTTGTAGGGCAGGGCATCGTCCCCGCTCAAATCGGCTCGTCGCAAGAACTCCTCGAACAGTCGGCCTGACACCATCGCACGGCTCACTTGAGCGAAACCAGCCCCACCATATTGGGGCGTTCAATGGGTTCTTTTCATGAGGATCCTCTTGAGACAATGACAGAAGCAGCTTCAGAATGCACATGCGCTCGCGACTGCTTTTTCCAACGGAAGGCACTCGACGGCTAAAGATTCGGAAACTCACATACAGGAAGCGTCCTCCCGCAGAGGGCAGGATGGCAAACGCAGATCAGAAATCCGACAGCGAATGCAAGAAATTACAAATCGTATGGCGCAGCTTGGCAAGCGGGATCCGTTCAGCAACACTTCCTCTGAGCTTTTGGGCATCTTGCGTCAGACATAAGTCGAATGGACAAAGGAGAGTAATGAGAGCTTCGACGATTGAACACGAAGTGAAAGGGGTCGCCCCTATTCCAGGATGTTGGTGCATGACAGACATGCAACTCTTGCTCATTCTGCCACCGCGCGCACCCATGCTGTTCAAAAACTGTGCAGACGCACCAGCTCAGAAAACTATGCCATACAGTACTACGCAGGCACGATGAGAACAGACTGTACGAAAAGCTTAACACAGGACCCGTATTATGCCCTGGCTCCAGACGCTTAGACTTAGACCATAAACATCCAAACAACAGAACTCAAAGCGCACACATATAGCATCATATAGCATCATATAGCCCACAAGCCAAACAAACACCAAACCTCGAAGAAGCCTTTACGATTTGCGGTTGAAGCTGAATCGGCTTACAAATGATCGAAAATCTCAGAGTCCACTTAGGGACATTGCATATATGAACCTATATAAAAGATACTCAACCACATATTGTACGAGGCAACAGAGCGCACTGTTTTCGTGCAAGGCGTCAAACAGGGTTGACAGTACATGCCGCACACATGTAAAGAGTGGCCCACCGCCACAAGTTCGATGTGGCTTCGCCACACAGGAGGCACATCGCCTCACACAGCACTCCGCTCTCCCCGGGATGGGTGGGTGGAAAAAATTATCACAACCTTGTGCTCGCAAGTAGGCCCAAGACTACCGATCAAACTGTTCGACTTATCAACATGTGTGCGGCGCGTAAGACGTGAAACATGTTCCAAAGACTCCACAAACCGAAACCATCAGTTTTTCCGTTCTTCCAGAAAAACATAGAACAACCTACAGTACAAATCGTAAGGCGAAATCATGCAAGCATGAGTTGGAGCAAAAGTGCATTCAGAATCCAACACAGCACACCACACTGCCATGCCCAGCCTAGCCAGGCATTAATCTTCGCCTCCTGTTCAGCACGTCGATCATCCCAGCTCAAGTATCCAGGCAGTGGCGCACCTTCACCAGATTAGGCATGCACATAGTGCAACGAAAGTGGACAACAAACAGCCTCCATACAGGGTCGCACGTGAGTACCTTGTCAGCACCGTGGGAAATCGGGCTGGTAGGGGAGAGATCGGCTTGGTCCCAAACTGGCTCTTCAAGTTGTTGCGGTTGAAATCGCCATCCGTCCACCTCATACTTTCGAAGTGCTGTGCCGAAACTGCCCCAGCTCCCTTCCAGGGGCCACGCCAGCGGATCTCGTTTTCCAAGAGCTCCTTCAAGACAGACTCCTCGGCGAGAGAAGACGGGTCCAGGTTGAGAGGTTCCTCTTCCTGCAGCCTTTGAGCTGAGACGGGCACGATGCTCGCGAGCGTGCCCGAACCATCGTAGGCCCTGAGTCGTGCGGCCAAAAAGCCCGTTTCTTCCTCCCCTGCTCGGCACAGGGCGCACAGTGACATGGTGGAACCGTTGTGGAGGCTGGCATTCGGCCTAAGCACGTGGCGAGGCCATGACTCACCGACGCACCGTTGACCCTATCATTCTGCGTCAGCCGAAGCACACTGAATAGAAGAGGTTCTTCACCTCAGACAGGACACCGAGGACGTTAACATTCCCGCTTCCAACAGAACAGGCACCTCTTCAGACGGGCTGCAGAGTAAGGCACATCACAGGAAGATCCTCGATCGTGCCACCTGGGAAAGCTGCGGCGCGAACCGGAGCGGGCAAGGACATTCAAGGCAGTCCAATGCTGACTGCGCATCAGCAAGCTCGCACGCCTCCGACAGAAGTCTCCATATCCGTCGAAGGACACCTTATACCAGAATTTGCAAGATCTTAGCAAGTTTACCTTTGACTTGGTCGCACTCTCAGTTCACCCAGGGGCCAATTGATCTTCGAAATCCTTGATCTCCTTTAAGGCTTCTTCGGTGAAGATGCCTAGCAGTAGAATCGTAGGGCAGAGCGACAAGAAATTTATGATACATGGACAAAAGTTGTGCACACATTGTCTGCCTGTGCTCGGATCCACAGCTTGGTAGAAGATGTCCAGCTCCCAAATCTGGTATGCCTGAGAAATCTGCGAATAATAGCGGCTGTGGGCTGCAGGCGCTGAGCCACGAATAGCACTAGTCAGGCCCAGCAGCCAGCGGCGTCTGCTCCTGCACCCTTGGGTGCAAGGCCACCAGCACAAGTCAAGGAATCGGAAAGAGACTGAGTTCAGCTGCCCTTGCAGACGACGCCCAAGGCCAGTGTCCTGCATGACAAGAACTCAACGACAAGCGGTCCTCATGCCGTCAAGCACAACCGTGTTAGCTTGCTTGCGAGAGCAATGGGGAGTCATCACAAAACTCTGTCAAAGCAAGTGCCTCCATGGAACCATTGCTCCTGGCCGGATCAAAGCGTGGGGGCACATCTCAGCCTCTGCGGCCTTGCCTCTGTCTTTGCTGATAGTCGTAGACCGTCCAAGCCTTCCACAAGAAGAGCCATGTTCAACGCCTCTCCGACACGACCCGACTCGGCCCGACTCTCCGACCCTCCATTCTTGCGATCTTCGCCGACGGTCCCCGGTCTTGCGCCTCGGCCGGCGGCCCAGCCGCACTACGCACCAACACCGCACCACCGCTGAGTGCTGGACACCTGCTCCGCGGAGGCCTCGTCGGCGGCGTCCAGCAAGTACTGCTCCTACCAAAAATCACTCCTCAAAACCCACTTTTTGTTTTCAGGCTCGTGCACTCCTCCAGTTCGGCCCGCAGGTAGTCGGAAAAATCCAAGTTGACCTGAAAGGCCCCCACAGCCCCCCAAGGCCCCCAGTCCAACTCTCGAAGAACTCTTGCAGATAAGAGACGTTCACGGCAAAGCCTCCAAAAGACTATCTGTGGCTCGAGTCATGAGTACACAAGGTGGCGCTTTGCCGCCTGCGGAGCTAAGCCCCAACAGTCCGAAGCTGCAGGGCAACGCCTTCGAAGCGCAAGAGTAAAGCACAAGAGCAACGTCATGTCTGACCAAGGGTCTCTCAGGACCAAGCAATGCCGAACAGCAACACCAAACATGGGCAGCCTCAAGAAGGGCCCAGCGCCACCGACGGAAGGGGAGTCGACCGAGCCCTCTGAGACTGCGGCTCGTCAGAACCCAAAGCCACAGGTCCGTGGGCGTTAGAAGACGCGAGTCGGGATTCTTGGACAGGCGCCAGCGCCAAATTGGCACAGCCACCTGTTCATGTAAGACACAACCCTATCACTGCGGCGGACTCGGCGACTGGGGCAAGGTGCCACGTAGCCGATCACAAGAATGCAGGCAACGAAGAGGAAACCAAACCTTTGCAATCTGGCAGCTTCCCGAGATGTGCCCAAGAACACGGCAGAATCCATTGCCGTCAAGAATCGCTGGCAGCAGCTCATCGTTCATTCGCACATTGTGCGAAAGTTTGGGCTAGGTCGCTGTGCGCTTTGCAGCTTGCATGGGCCATGATCTTGCTTTCTAACCCCAGGACCGGTTGCCGGGAATCTGTCACTTCGGTTTCCAGGCCAAGTTTCGAAAACAAACCATTGCAATTGGTCATGATCCTTCCCACTTCGAGCAGCGCCATGAGTCACCGCACACATGCCGAACAACCCCGGGCAACTCTACGGTCCAAGAAACGGCGCGTCGTGCTGAATCGAAGTCTGCGTGCAGCGCGCGAAATCAAAAAAACACGAAAATCGAAAATCGCAAATGATGCGATTAGCAAAACGGGAAACATTACGTACGCGTAAATCGATGGAAAAACGCAAAACATGAAAAAGTGTCGAAAAGCAAAAACAGGATTCGCGGTAGCATTGTCAAAAACCAAATCTAATTAATTATATAGCATGATTCCTACTTCTTCCTTTATTATCATGATTTAAGATATGGTATACCACGACGTTACACGCCTTTCGCACTTTCGTTTTTGCAGTCTTTTCGCGGGTAGTGCACACCACCGCTTATTCGCACATACTTTTTCAATACTTACTAACTACTTGTGTTCACAAACACGACAAGGATTACCGTATTCCTGGGACATGAGCTGCACAGGAAGCGCACTTATGCAAGCGGACAACCATCCATCTGTTGACACTGAGCAGGGTAACAGCAGGGCAAACCAAAACACAAAAACCAACCTTACAAGGCAGAAACATTTTGAACTGCCAAGCCACAATCCTTACAAGAAAGCAAGAAACCCAAATAGACTAACATTAAAAATAGCACTCATCAAGAACAGAACATTTGAACAGCGGACCACAAAGGCAAAGAAATAGAACAACAGGGGGGCACAAAAACAGCAAACATTGAAAGAGCTCCACCCAGCTCCCCCAACCTCCACCCAATCCAACAATCAGACGACACAGTAGGAACACCAAATTTAATCTGAAACAGGCCCCCTTCCAATTCCCAAATTAGGCCTTAACCTTCAAGGATTTTGATTCAAGGGAGAAAAACATTAGAATAGAAAACTGCTAGTTTTCACTCAAACACAAGCGCTTGCGGAGTCCGCAAAGTCAGCATATTGGGCTCAATGAATTAAGGAGCTTGCCAAGTAAAACAAAGGTTCAAGTTAAATACCGGCCAAGAAAACAAATTGAAAACATGTATACTCAAAGTACATGTACAAAGTGTGCAAAGTTTTGCACCCCGCCTAAAGCATGCCGAAGTCCAACTAAGGCTTCTGCTTTCAAACATAACTTTGCAACTTCAAAAGCCACACTGTACGGACGCTCAAAGCTACACTAGGGCCGGTATGTCGAGTAAACAAAGACTACAACTAGTTTCACGACAGCTCCACTAAAGTTTCACTCGCGTGCACAAGCGCTGCCTCAACGGTACACTAGCTAGCGTATCCTCCCGCCACCTCCCTCAACACCTCCGGGGAGTACGTAGCAAGCCTAGCTTACGCTGACTGGCTTCACAGTAGCACGGACAACACGAACTTCTTTTTTTTAGCGTTGTGGCGAAGTCCCGCGTTAGCCCGGAGAAGAACTCTAGCCTTTGGCTAGCTAATCCCCAGGTTGGGTTGGGTGGGCACTCGAAATTTGCCCCCCCCAGTAGCAGGGGGCCTTTCAGCACAATGGCCACGGAATAGCTCACGTTCCACCGGCCATGTGCAGACACTCTAGCAAACAGACTGGCTTCGTTCTGTTTAGCTTCAGAGGAAAACCCCTTCGACGTTTTCTAGCGAAACACCTTCGATGTTTCATTCAAGGATACTAGCGCTAGCATACACGGTCGTACCTCGTCCCTCGGCACGAGTGCGTACACTAGCTAGCGTATCCTCCCGCCACCTCCCTCAACACCTCCGGGGAGTACGTAGCAAGCCTAGCTTACGCTGACTGGCTTCACAGTAGCACGGACAACACGAACTTCTCTCTTTTTAGCGTTGTGGCGAAGTCCCGCGTTAGCCCGGAGAAGAACTCTAGCCTTTGTGGCTAGCTAATCTCCTTGCGCAGCCGTAGGGCTACCAGGGACCTAGCTTACAGGCCTTCTTAGCGAACCTAGGAGCCTTGGGCTCCGCAGTTCTCTTCCTCACTCCTAGCTCCTGGAAGTAGCTAGACGAGTGTTCGAGGAGACGGCCCAGCACGCGCCACTCTAGCTTCTCCCCCTCCAGGTTCAACCTGAAGTCCGGGGAAAAACTAGCAAAGTTCTCGTTCGTGAGATCGTCCGCTAGCTGATTCAGATCTCTGCGGATCCACTGTAGCTGAAGCTCACAGTTCTTAGCGGAGAGTTCCTCTGCTAGCTCCATAAGCACCAAGGTCGAAGGAAACTTCGTTGTCATAGCCTTCTTCAGTAGCGCTTCGTTGGACTGGTTGTCCGTGTACCCGCGGATAGCGACCTTGGAGGTCTTCTTAGCATCCCCTTCCAAAACCCAGAGTTTCACACCCACCAAGTAGCCAGTAGCTCCAACGCAGCGATGACCTTGTTCGGGTCCCCCTTAGCAAAGGCCCCAGGGGGCCCATTCCTTCTTCACTTCTAGCGAGAACCAGGGGCCATGGCAGCCGTCCACTAGCTCCAGAAAACCTCCAATCCACGCTCTCCCATTCTCTGCCTTAGCGTCGGTGTAGAAGGAGAGCGGCTGCACCATCCAGTAGCGAGGCTGGCTTCTGGAGACGACCTCCAGCCTCCAGGCGGTCTGCTAGCCATCCACAGAAAGGGGCGTTCCCAGTCTAGCGCCATGGAAGCAAAGCCCAGTCGTCCTAGCCCCTGTGCAAAGGGTCGAGCCTCGCTCTTCCCTTCACGTACTAGCCCACGAAGCCATCCCACTGGCCACTCAGTCCTTTTCTGCGACAGACCTAGCCTCCACGTGGAGTACTCCGTTTCCATGCCTAGCCACTCCACTCGAAACCCCCCCCTCGTCTTGGACCACTTGAAGGGGTACCCAAGACTAGCGAGGAAGAGGTAACTTAGCGGGATCCCCATGCGTCCCCTCGCCCCCCGGCCCAAAGACTCGAGGTCATCGGCGTAGAGTAGCATGTCTAGCGGGAATGATGGCCCTAGCAGGTGGTACGTGAGCCGGAGCCCACACGCTGCTATGCGGGTCCACCAGTAGCTGGCACAGGATAGCCCGAAGGTCCCCACCAGGTTCACGTAGACCGTCTGGCTGTCGGGGTCCCCCGGAATAGCTTCCTCGGTGTCGATCTGACACCCCAGGTAGCCATGCTCTCCCTCCGCATGCTTGTAGCGTCGGTGGGCTTTAGCAATATCGCCGACCACGGAGAAGGCCACCTCGTTAGCATCGATGTGTTCTCGGAGTAGCTGCTTCTTATTTTCCTTGATCGAAAACCGCATGTAAGAAAGAGAGAACATGGGAGCAAGCGTGGAGTGAACATGCTGCGAAGTCAAAGATGCGATCACTCAACTTGCAATGCAGACAGTCACTCGCGCACCTTCATTTTGTTCTCGAAACGGGCACAGGGGTTAACAGTCTCGTTGTATGCATGGCATGCGGCTGAAGGGCGGAGCCGAATGAACGGCATGCCACCACTCCAAGACAGCAATGCGTGACACAGGGTAGGGCGGGTGGGACAAAACACACATTGGTGAATGTACACAAGGGTTTCCCGCCCTCCCTCCCTTGAAGAGGGAAATGTTTCAGCACAACAAGTGTTCGCAAAGGCAACACATTGAAGCGACTGAAAACAAACATGCTTGGTTTTAAAACAAAGGTTTCAAAGCCATTTTCGAACGGAAAATAAAGGGTTCGTCCCTTCGAGACCCAACCTTATTTTCCTTGATCGAAAACCGCATGTAAGAAAGAGAGAACATGGGAGCAAGCGTGGAGTGAACATGCTGCGAAGTCAAAGATGCGATCACTCAACTTGCAATGCAGACAGTCACTCGCGCACCTTCATTTTGTTCTCGAAACGGGCACAGGGGTTAACAGTCTCGTTGTATGCATGGCATGCGGCTGAAGGGCGGAGCCGAATGAACGGCATGCCACCACTCCAAGACAGCAATGCGTGACACAGCACCACCGCCCCACTTGTAAGCAGTGTCAAAGCGGGAACGGATGCAGCAACTCGGATCGAGACGCTCCCATTGCCACAAGCTGACTGCAATCACCTCGACTGGGATTGTCTGCAATGTTGCTTGACGTTGGCACTCTCCCAAACCACAACCTGCACCTCGATGTTTCTTCGAGCGTGACACAAGCCTCAAGGATCGTGCCCCCGGGCAAAGTACCGGATTTGCAAGAGGTGAATGCTCCTCGAGCAGCTTCGTTACCGATGTACAGAACGGAATAAGTATTGGCCAATTGCTCCGACCAGATGGCCAGAGCGGCCCACACTGCAAGCATCTCAATTTCGTATATCGGATGCTTGGATGTTTCGCGAAGTTTGTCCAAGACCCGATCCGGGAGATCAAGGCTGAAGTAAGAGAGTGCAGAACCACTCCCATCGAACAACGCACCACCCAGACTAGCAGTCGGGCCCTCGAGACTACCGTCAGTGAAGATGATGTACGTGCGACCCATGTGCCTGTTAAGGGAAATGGGTTCAGCGTGCAACGAAACATCCTTCAAGTAGATCAGGGCCTGTCGCAGCTCAGGATCAAGCTTCTTGGAACATCCGAACCCTCTGGCTCGACGGCTCAAGACTTGCAAAGCCAAGCATGATCTGCGTCCAAACAAGAAAGAAGAGAACCAGTGCATCCTGCCACGCAGGCGGTCTGCCTCAGTCTGGCTGATCGCATCCCGGTCAAGCACATCCTGGATTGCAGCGGACAGAGTAGCAATCCTCTCTTCGGTATGTTTAAGCAGAACCGTACCATCGGTGAAAGAAGAGAGGTCGACAATAATACCCAAAACTTTGAACTGGGCAGCGAACTCAACTGCTTTCTTCCCTGTCGTTGCATAGACGATGCCAAGGAGCCCGAAGAATCGATGAACGATGCTG